AGATTTGGGTTGGGTGAATAACTCGACTGGGGTAAATTTAAGGATCAAAATTTTCCCTTTCAACGTGTTTACTCCCGGCATTGACACGTGTTGCTTCCCTGTGGTTATGAATCCCTCTTCTAATCAGCTCTCTGCAAAGATTAACGTTGCTTTTAAATAACAGCGCTGACACCGATAAACATTTTTACTTCTTTAAAGCACGTCATTTCAGAAACCAGCTTTGCCTTTTTTTTCTTTTTTAAAGTTTGAGTCCATAAACTTGCTGAGCTCTTTTCTTCAGATCCACACGGAGGAAAAGAGACATAAGCAATTGATCTAAACCCTTTGCTGAAACTTTGCTGACACACAACCTCACATTTTTCTGTTAGCGCTATGATTAAAGTTTAAAAAAATATCTCTGCAGTTTAAGCAAATCATCTCTATTTCCTTTAGAAACACGCTTTTCAAACTTCACTTCAAACAGGGAAAATGTCATTCAAAAATAAGAGTACAGGGGTCAGGGTGTATTTACTGCTGTTAAGTCCACAGCTGTAGAGAGGTGAAGGTGAGGTCCACAGAGGTCAGAAACAGATTTAGTCGAGTTAGTGCAGAGCTGGTGGAGAGTTTCTCGAAGATGCTTCATCTTGTATTACATCTGAGGAACTGATCTGCTCTTTACATGACGTCTCTTCAGAAATCAATGATTGGAATTGTACATTTATTTATCAGGACTATCTTTACTTTGAGGCACAATAAAGTGGGTTATGATATTTATAATCATCAAGATTTTTCCAAGTTTACTCACAATTGATGGACATGAAAAGTTGGAAAGGTTAGCCTCTATTTATTATAAATTAGTATTTCTTTACACAACTTTTCCCAATTACAATATTTCAGTAAACAGAGGACTAAACCAAGATCAAATTCTGTCTCAGTCCATATTTCCACAACTTAATAACTGATGTTATACATTTTAATTACACAATCAAATCAATCTAAACAAACTGCAACAGCACACAGACTTTTCCTACCGTCCTCGCTGTAGATCAAGCGCTTAATGTGCCATCAGAGAATAATCAGAGGCAGCCCGAGTATGTACACACACCCGCCCAGATATCCACGCACACACACACGTCCAAATGTTTTAGATATTATATTAATATTATTATAACAAAGGGAATTAAAAATACGTGACGGGAACATTTGTGATCGAACGGTGTCACAGGACCTCAGCATTTTAACTTTATCACGATGTATTGAATTTATAAAGAGGATAAACTGACGGATGGTGATTAGATTTGTGTTGAGAACTATTTTTTAAAAAGAAAAACAAGATTGTAAGAGAAAAGGTAGATTTTATAAGAAGATATTAGCAAAAGGAACAGCTAAAAACAATAAAACATTTAAATAAAGTCACTGTGACCACTTTGTGAGGCTGTAAAATATCACTTCAATGTAAAATGTTGATAAAAATTTATAATATTTGTCTGTGTTAAGGCATGAAATACAGAAGTGAGAAAACTTGAGTGTTTTGCTGCATGAAAATAAAACAGTGTTATGTATATAAGAGGCTATTTATGAAATAGCTGCAGAGTGTTGTGGCTCTCACCCTGAGTGTCACCACAGCAGGACTTGTGCTGTGGATTAGCGGGGCCACATCACCTCACCTGGGTCCTTATGTGACTCTCAGCAGGCTCACGTGCTGTCACCGTCAATCAGTCCCTTAAAAAATTCCCCGAAAGCTTTAGAGTCACCTCGCTCAGCCGCTGAGAGGTAAACAGTGACACTGTGAGAGGTGGCTTTTTTGTAATTCACTTTAATAATGTGATAAGAATGATTTCAAGAAAAGCAAACAGTTCTTCTATTTACATTTTAAGACTTTTGCTGTCGTATATGTGTGGCAGATTTTCCTTTGACTACAAGTTGTTCGTAAATTCATCTAACTTGTACAACAAATAAAAATAACTAGAAGAACAACTAAATTTAAACCAAAGATCAGGCATGAGTTAAACATGGCAGGAAAGCCGGCTTAGGCTCTGTTTATGATTCACATGACAGGTAAGTGATGAAGTTCACGCAAAGGACGTGGCATTGCGTAATCTTTGTTTACGTAATATTTTAGCCAAGTCTCCTGAAACTTTTTAACAATTTCATTAATTTTTTGGTCGATAAATCAGATTTTATTCATGTTTGAATTGATGTGATCATCTTATTTGACTTAAAGGTCTTTTTTAATATCATGTACGTACACAAACAGCCACAACATTAGGGACACCTGGTTGCTCTAGTGAAGTCCACTGCAACAGCTCTGCCTCAAATCCTTCTTTCAAGAAGCTTCTGAACTTTCAGTGTTTGTTGACATGATCAGACAGGTAGTTAGTGTACTTAATTATTGAAAGAATGAAAGGTAAGTGTGTTATATTTCTATATTTGTCCATTTTATTAACAAATGTGTACAGAGAAAAGCATTACCTTTAAATATAACGCACTCCAGTGGATCCTTAACAGACACAACATCTTCATTAAGAGTAGTCATCACCTGTTTGATCGTGTCAGCTTCATAAAAGTCAAATTAGTGATAAAGCTGTTGTGTTATGTTGAATTAGATTGTCTTGTTGTTCATAGTGTCATGGGTGCAAGGATTTCTAATACAAATTGGCAATAAAAAATATATATACTAAAACTTACGCATAAACTTACTCCGGTAACACCTTACAATAACCATACCCTATAATTGATAGATAGACCTTTTATTAATGGTAACCATTAATAAATTGTAAATTTTACAATTTTAAAAACCTAACCCTAACCCTAACTTCACAATAACCATCTAAGTAATGTTTTTAGAGATAGTTTAAAAAACAATTATTAACCATTTACAAAGTGCTGCTGACACACATTTTAATCTAGATGTTTTACAACCAATATTTAAACCCAATATAAACCTTTAATAAATATTCCATTAATAATTAATGAAAATTATCAATCATAATTTCATTGCTTGTTAATGGTAAAGTAAATATTAACTAACATTGATAAACTATCTATATACCATTTATAAATTATGGTTATTGTAAAGTGTTACCTTTTGTTCCTTTTAATGTCCAACACCATCACTCATTAATTAATGCCCCAGCAGACCCACACCTGGTCCACAGTGAGCTTCCTGTAGCCCTGTCCACAGCTGACCCCTGGTGGCATCAAGCAGCATTGCAGTGAATATCCTAACAGCATTTTTATACCCAAACTCTGCAACTCCTTAATGAAGAAAGAATCAAATCAGAATCACACATTCATGAGTAAAACAGAACATTTTTGTGAGGTTAAATGTGTAAAACATGACTGTTTTTTGTTCTTGACATACCAGACACACACACAGGCACACAGAGAGAGAGACCGGACCTGCAGAGGGAGGAACACACTGTCAGCTTTTGGGGAACTGGAAGTAGACTGTTTGCTGTTTCAGTGGAAATGTGTTTGATATTTGTTTGAAGTTCATAATCCAATAACACGAGCACAAATACACTTCCTGTGTGAGAGACAGCTCTCAGACTGATTGTGTTATTGAAAAAGAAAAATACCAAACAATGTCTAGACAATGTTCTGGCTGTAGGTCCTCTCAACTTAAACATTTATCTAAAAATATTATACCGCCTCTTTGGTTTTCTACCTTTGGTGCTCACTTCTGAGGAGCTAAATTGATCCAACACCAGAGGGAACCAAGTTCGGAGTGTGTCGTGTAGATTTAAGAAGGCAAACTCTGATTTTTTATTTTTAAAAGCTACAAAACTAACGGATTAAAAAAATCACGCACCTTCAAATAGGTAAGGTTATTTAGGGAATTGGAGAATTGGACCACAGTTGAAATAAAACAAACAAGTTTACACAAAAGCAGTGAAATTGAATTTTCTTCTTCTGTAATGGACACATTCATAGAAAATCATCTTTTTCTGTCCAGTTTTTATGAGAAAAGACGAAGAAAACACAGCTGCCTCTCTGAAACACACACAAACTCATTCACACAGACCAATTCAAAGAGACAACAAAGGGGTCCTGACCCAGGTCACGACACTCTGCCCTCTCCGTTCCTTTTTTTAGATGATATTTTTATGTATTTTTATTCTTTAGGAAGTCCTACCGGTCATTCCCAAAATGGTGCGAGTGGTGTGAATTTCACAGAGCATGGTTTCCGCTGGAATAGAGGATGTTCCCAGCCAATCTTTCATGGATGGAGCAAACAGGAGTCATCAGAACAAGGAAGTGGGGACAGGTGCTCTGTGGAAGATTCAGAGATCCACAGAGAGACAAAAACACCGACAGACAATAGTCCACATTTATCTTATGAACAACATCTCAGCTGAGCCCTGAATGTTTCTGTTGACACTGGATTAAAATTCAGTTAAATTTACTGATCGGCGATTTGAAGATCCTTAACTTTTCTTCATCTGTGGATGAATCTTTTTTTTTTAAGGCAGTTTAGAATATTTATCCTATTTAATTTAGCAAATATCCAACTGTTATTCTAAAGATAATCTGTTTTCTTCGTTTATATCATGTAAATTATCATTTTAACACTTCGGCAAATCATTTCCCTTGTACATTTTCTACATTATTCTGCGTTTCAGGCATATCTCCAGTATTTATCCAACACTCTGTCTGACTTTTTCAATTATTCAAGTACGTCTATTGTTTTAAACCACTTGTACATCATTAACATTTTTTTTTAATCTTGCTTAACATTTTTCGCAGTATTGGCTTATTAGCTTGCTAGCTAGCTCGGCTTGCTATTTGGCTTAATTTTTCACAATTAAGGTAATCTATTAGGTCTCCGTCTGTAACTCTTTTTAAGCACACTGTAAAGGAGGTCTCTGCAGTCTCCATTATGATATATCAGGTAGCTAAGGACTGAGGCAGCTAACATAACAATCGTCATGTTGCATAAATCGTGTCATTGTAGGATTGTATAGATGAAAAACAAACACGACACATTAACAGATGAGTCTGAGAGGTATTTCAGTAAAGATCCTTTTATTCAGATTAATAATGTGTTGCTCACAGATGATTGCTGTTCATGTGGTGGCCAGGGGTTGATTTAGCCGCACCACCTGTGAGAAACATAGTTTAACTTGGAAAAGCAGATTTGTACGTTGATTAAAACAGGGAAGGTGCAATATGAAGTTTAACCTGACTTACCTGTACCTTTCTGTCTCCACTTCCAGGGTGTGCTGCTAAAAGAGTCCCCGTTGAACAAACAGCCTTTTTAAAGTGCCGGGAGGGTTCCAACTGGCAGATTGGTATGGGGGGTGAACAGAGCCATGTGCAATATTCCTTTAGAGAAATTACTGGGAGAATGCGGCTAAGTAAAGTCATAGTCACTTATGGTAGTTTAGTCTTGGGTTGTAGCAATTTAAATTCCAAGGTTTTGGGGTTTTAAATAAGTAAAAATAAAGTTTCATGTTTTTAGTACCCCTGCATATGGTAGCACCTGATTGGGGAGGGTATATAGGGGGAGCACTTTCTCTCAGTAGGGTAGGTCATGTTTATCTATTACAGACAGGTCATGAGGAAGGCTAATGTAATTCTAGATTGTCCTAACCACCCTCTGCACTATGAATCCGAGCTTTTGCCATCAGGCCATTGTTATCGGGTTGCTACGGGGACGACTAAGAGATTTTAGATCTCATTTATCTCTAGAGCGATTCATTCACTGAATGGTAATTAGGCCTCAGGTTGCACATGTTTTTCTTTGCACTGTTTATTGTATTTTTGCACATCCGCATTTCTCACTTTTTCACAGTTTACTAAGGCAGTTATCCTTTGCAGTTTTGGTATTGTCTCTGGACTGAACATTATTTTTTAGTGATGCTGTGTATATGTTTGGTGTTTCTTTTATTGTGTTGTTTTTTATCATGTTTGACTTTTAGACTATTCTTACTGTATGTCACCGTATACCCTGTCTTTGTGTGCTCCGGCTGCAATACTAATTTCCCTTTTGGGACAATAAAGAGATTCTGATTCTGATTTTGTCTTGTGCATGAAGCCATTCTCACGCACACCTTTCAACGGCACACCAGTTATATTACAAATTACAACTGTAAAACAATAAATCCTTTGTGAGCTAACTGTTAGAAAAGTTCACGTAAGCTACTTTAAACAATTCTTCTGTTTCTCTGTTAGCTAACTAGCCTATTTCAAGTTAGTTTTAGCTAAATTTCCAAACACATAAGTTACTTTTTACTATTTTCATATTTATTTGTTATCAAAACGGGCTATTTCAATGTCGAAGCTTTTGGCTAACAACTTTAATGTTAATTCACCTAACATTCACACATTAACCCTCTTTTAATAGTTCTTAAATATTACTTTGGAGCACATTTGCGAATTTTTCTCCACTTTGAATTCAGCTAATATTCTTAATATCTTGCTAGTATACTAACTTGTTCTAAGTACTCTGAATAAATTAACACCTAGATAAATTTACTTCCTCAATCTGTCTATTTTCAAGGTGAATTATAAAACTATATTTCCATGTAGGCTCACAAACATACATACAATATTGTAATTTTAAGTCAAAGATGATGTCTCTGCTATTCATACCAGCAGGAACCTGCTGTTACTTCTCTCTTTTCAACTTTCCATGTAATCGTTAGTCAGTTATGATATTCAAGTTAGTCAGAGAGCCCAGTGTTCTTGTTATTCAGCCTCATTGCTCACTTTCCTTACAGGTTTCCTAAGCGGGGAGGCACACAGCCAACAGGGAATCCAGTAAAGATAGGACACAGGACAAGACCAGAGCGAAGTGTGGCCGCACTCCGCCGACACCTTTTAGCCTCCTGAAGGAAAACAGAGCAGAGAGGAAACTGACTGCTGATGTAGTCATCTTATACTCACTACCCGCCTGGACACGAGCTAAAAATTGTCCTGGATGCCACGAGGGGATTCAAACAAAAGAACGGAGAGTGCTGAGCTGATCAGGAGAGGGCTGGAGTTGATTCAGCTCCCTGAGTCAAATCCTGACTGTGAAATAAATGAGGCCGGCCGGTGTGAAAAATGTTCTCTGGAGCCAGAACACAGAGCGAGACTTTCTTTGTCTCATTGTTTGTGGATAACTAAACTCTGTGGCTTCTGTTTTTCAAATTTGTGTGTGTCATCCAACACTTTTACACATTATAATACTTGCTGTTTGATTATGACCTCCATTAAACATGACTTAAACTGATGACCAAGTTATCACCTTTTAATTCAAGAAACCAAATCATGGACCAAATCTCAACTACTGCTATAATAAGTTTGAGTTTAGCTCCAGTATCAAAGAAACATTTAAGTCCAATGTTTCTGTTTTTTAATTTGCTATTATGTCAACTAAATATACTGATATTTCAATGATGTTTTGTAGAGTTTTACACTGTGTACATTCTGTTTTTTGAGAAATAAATACGACTTAAAGAAGAAGTTGTTTCACATTCTGTTAAATGTTTGTCATAAAAATCCAGGATTAAGACTTTCTCACAGGAAACAGGCTCTATTTGTGATATGTTTCAGATTAAAGTGTGTTTTTGTTTTATTACTCAATTAATAGTCATGTTGGGGGTAAATTAAAACCTTATTTTTCAGAGTGCTTTCGGTTAAGATGCCAGTTAAATTTCAGCTGTGTTTGGGAGGGGAATTTTCACCCCGGATTTTTCCAGAAGGAATTTTTTTTATTTGCAGTTTAACATTTTATATCCGCAAAGGCTGAGCTCATGGACGGGTATGTGCATGACAAAGCGGATCATAATAAATTTTGTGTTCCCTCACAACACGACGGACCAGCCTGAGAGTCTTGAGGTTGATTGAGGTGAGAAATTCTTATCAGAGCTGTAAAATCCAGAGGGCTGCAAAGTTGTTAAATCGTATTTCACCTCATGTTTCTGATAAGAGTACTTGAAAACCCATCTGAGAACAATCCCTGTGACGTCTTTGCTCAGAAAGAAGTTAGGGTACCTGCTCAGTTTGTGGATTACTTTTAAGTGAATGTGCCAGAATAAGAAGAGAAATAAACTATTGAGTCACAGCGTGTGTGTAAAGATTGACTGGATCCACTATATATAGTGGGAGCACAACTGGACGGTGGTGTGACAGGCAGAGATCATAAAAGCGGGCCTGAGAGGGACAGCATATGCCTGGGATTATGAGCAACCAGGCCTGCTTTAGGGGAGGGCCACACCCTCTCCTGCAGCTGTCTCACATGCTGTATTTGCAATCTGCTATCAATGACTTAATCAGTTTGGGCCCTCGCTGCCTCGCCATGTCTCTCTCTCTCTCTCTCTCTCTCTGGAACAGGACAGGACTGGACAGGGAGAATCTACAGCCCGACCAGTTTGCACACACGCTTTTTATTTATGTGTTTGCATAACTTTGATGAAACCGAACACTTTGCAAACACAGATGCAGATTTGGAGGTTGTTTTATGTGCACGTGTGCTTTGTTGTCATAGTAATTTTAGACCAGCTGTGTTGACATTATCTCATAACGCATTAATAACTACTAGATATCTTGAATAATTCACTGAAAGGTCTTGTTATTTGGAGTAACAGCTGCAACAAATCATTACTTACTCTGTAGTGGCACATTTTGACGATTGATTAAATATTTTGTATCTAAAAATTGGGAAAGGTTGTTGCCAATTGAAGTCTTGGAAACACTTTATTTGACGCCTATCTCTATAACGCATTAAAAACATACTTATAATGCTTTATAATCATGTTATAGCACCTTATAACTATAGTTATAAACACTAATAAATGATCATAATGCTTTATAGCAGTAATCATAACACATTATAAAGCATTTTATCATGACTTACAAGATCAGGTATTATAATGTGTTATAGCTGTTTACAACAGTTGCATTGCATTATCTTTGTGGGCATTGTCAGTGAGTTGTTAACAGTTATAACACATTATAATACCTGACCTTGTAAGTCATAATAAAATACTTTATAATGAGTTATGGTTATTGCTATAAAGCATTATGATCATTTATGAGTGTTTATAACTATAGTTATACAGTGCTATAACATGATTATAACACATTATAAGTATGTTTTTAATGCGTTATAGAGATAGGGGTCAAGTAAAGTGTTACCGAAGTCTTTTAAGACCAGTCATGGTATTTGTATTGTGAAGCTGACGACCCAACTCAAAAATATATATTCATTATAATATTACAAAATATTACTGTAGCCTCACTCAGAGGAAGCTTATGTGAAGACAGGTGTTTTGAAGTAAACACTGTTGAGAAAAGACTGTTTGTGGTTGAAGGTTAGAGCTAAAGGTTTAAAACACAATTTTTAAAATTCAAAACTTCCTCTCTGATTATTACTTGTTTCCTGTTTTATCTCCTGACATGTCATCTCTGAAAAAATACTAAAATTAGACCTTTAAAAAAACTCCTAAAAGGCCTTTTTAAATAACCTTCCTAATGTTTCTGATTGGTGCAGAGTTAATAAAGAAAAAGCAGTTAGATATAATTGCTTGCACTGGGACTCACTTCATACAGAGATGTTATATTATCAGTGTTTATCCAGCATGTGCAGTCCCTTCAGAGTCAGCTAACAGCACATCATAATGACTAATAAACCCTCTGACTATTTGTGTCTGAGTCAAGTCAAATAAAACACACACTGATGTTTGAACTGATTAAACTGCAGCAGAGAGAGAGAGAGAGAGAGAGAGAGAGAGAGAGAGAGAGAGAGAGAGAGTATGTGTGACAGGCAGCTACCTGAGATGAGATTAGGGCAGTGCCATGATTAAGTGCTGCTGTGTTAATGTAGCCGGCCGGCCTGCTGTAATCTCTGAGTGGCTCTGCAGACTGCTGCCAGCAAGGCCCCAGGACACACACACACACACACACACACACACACACACTTACAAAAACACACATCTGCACACACGTGAACACACACACACGCACACACAGTTACAGTATGGGAACAGCATGAAAGCCCCGATTTCCTGAGCTTTGAGGTGTGCTCTCTTTGCTCTGAATGTCTTCCTTTTACCTGGAAACACATTAAGAAGTGCTTAGTTCAAATATAGACCTGGAAAGAGTCTCAAACACTGATGCACAAAGAAAAAAAAATTACCTTTTATCTCTAATTAAAATGGATTTGCATGATAAAGTCAGAGTCACATTGTGGAAAATGTGAAGTTTGGAGTTTTTTGCATGTTCTAAACTTCAACACCCAACTTGTGTACTAATGTTATAGTGGAATATATCAAACCTTCATATTTGATCATATTTTGTTAAATTTCACTCATATTTGCAGCTTTTAGTGTCCTAATAACGTGTGTCTTCTTCAATAATTTCACCAAAGAAGGTGCAAAACCTTACAAAATTGCATGATAGCTCTCAAATTATGAGATAAATGCTATCTAAATAATAGTAATAAATTTTTATACAAAAGTATTTTCTGTTTTGAACAGTTTTTGAATGTGTTTCACCACATGTTTTTTCTTTGTACGTGACTAAAAGCTAAAACCTTTGTTTGGATTCTGTATAAACCCTAAAATCAATGTCCAAAACAGGAAAAAAGACAAAACAGAGACCTGGTTTTAATAATTTTCCTCTTAAAAGACTCACATGAGTGTTTAAAACATGTCTTCATTTTTACCTCAGCCCTCCTTTGAGATAAACCCTGAAGAAGCAGGATCCCCTCTTCCTCATCAATTAGCCCTGATCAATTAGTCTGCGCTGATAACATCACGGCTGACATGGGGGGTCTGCCTCAACCTAAGTCTGCACAGGTGACCCTCCCCACCCACCAACCCACCCTGCAGCAGCCTGGGGGGCCTGGAGGCCTGAGCCTGTTGTTATGCACCCATTAGCTGCAACAACAGGGAGGATAAAGCTGCCACTCAGCTGCAGAATGAACTTAAACACATTCGCACCAATTAGAGCGGATTGTCTGCGCGCGGCCTGAGGGGGGAAGAAATCTGGTTTGGGTGCGACAGATTACAACATCTCACACACCTCAGGCGCAGTGGTTTCGGACTCAAACGCAGATATTTTCTGGACTTCTTCTGCGACTTTCTTGCAGTATTTACTTCAAGACATTCTGCATGAACAAAGCGTACGAACATGTAAACCTCTGGACCATGTTTCCTCTGAGGTGCTAAAAATGGACTCTGAGGTCAGGGTGATTGACCTCTCCGAGAAGAACCTCTTCCTTTAGAAATCAGGAAAATCTCTATTTATAAAACACGACTCTTCTCGGCTATAAATACCGTTAAAAATCCTTCAGGGTTGATGTGATCTTTTAAGGTTTTTCCTTGATAAATTTAAAATATGATGAAGCAACACAGTGGTGTGAGCGGTTAAATATATCCCAGGGTATTTCAGTATACCCACCAAAATAAAACCTGATGTCACCGCTGTGTTATTATCACATAGCAGGAGGATGGATGTTGAAATGTACCTCGCATTCAGCTGCACCAAACTCAGTGTTACCATTGTTTTGCGGAGGTGTAGTAGGCCAGGGATAATTTTAATGGCCCCTGACATTAATCAGAAAAGTCTGAATCATTTACAGGCAGGATGTCCGGAGCATAAAGCGCGCTCCACGCTGCGAAAACAAGGCGCCATGTGTAACGCACACACTGAGATTACCTTTTACTCCGTGCGGGGCCAGGAAGCCGGGTCGCTGCCCCGCTTCCAGGTGAGCGGCCGGGAGAGAGTACAGCTGCATGTGAAAGTGGGAAACGGCAGCTAGAGATTTGTAGGATACACGCTGAATGAACGGTGGGAAAAAAACAGCAAAGTCAAATATTTTTCTTGCGTTATAAAATTATGCTTTAATGCTGAGGTGACAGAACTTTTATTTAAGAGAGTAAAAACAACCTCAAGTGAAATTCTGAAGCTTAACATCAAAATGAAAACTCGAGTTAAAAATTGTGCAACAATAAATACAAGCCGGGATGAGAATTTGCAACAATTTATTTCTGAAAAGTGCAAAAAGTATAAAAAAAACACCTTCAGTATTTACATAATCTCTAAAATAGTGGCTTTACAATATTTATTATCACAAAATGACATAAATCCCTGCAAGAGAGGATGAAAAAAGTGAAACCCAGTGTTCATTTCCAAATGTTCGACGATCGTCTCGGGCACTTACAGTACAAAAGTCTTCATTTTTTAAAATCTCATGCCTTCTGCTCTATCAGTGGAGAAAAATTACAAAAATAAACACATTTTGTTGAGATTTAGCTACAGAGATTTGAGGTCAGATTCTGTGTCCATGCAGCAGAGCGAGCGGGAGGTTAGGAGTTGTTGTAGCTGCAGTAATACACAGCTGTGCTGGCGTCCGACAGCACCGATGATATCAGGCTCTCGGGTCCCTGCATGCCGGCCTCGTGCGGCCCGTACTGCAGGCCTGTCATGTCCGCCCGTGCCGAGGAGGAGCTCAAATACTGCTCGAACTCGCTGCGGTCCACCTCACCCAGCAGCTCAGAGTGGTGCATGTGCTCCACGCCATCTGCAGGGTGAGGGTGGGAGTCAGGGGGAGGGGAGAGCTGTCCTGCCCCACCAGGGTGTCTCTTAGGGTGGCTGGGGCTGCAGTGTTGGGTGTAGTACATGGCAAGAGGGTTCGGGTGTCCCATGTAAGAAGGAGGGAGGGTGGCGGGCTCTGCGGTGGAGGCGGGGTGGCGATGCAGGGTGGCGTGATGGCTGGTGACAGGGTCCTGAGGCTGGTACTCTGCAGCCTGAGAGTGGTACGCGTACGCAGGCATCATGTGGCACTCCTCCTGGGAGTGCGGAGGGAAGAACATGGAGTCGGACTCCACCGCGTCCAGAGGGGAGGTATCAGGAGTGGGGAGGCTGTAGTTCTCATACGAGGGACCCCCGAGAGCCTGAGTGTCTCTATAGTGGCCAAGTGGCTGCGGAGGAAGCTGGAAGTGTTCGTGGTAACCCAGGCTCATGCTCTCCATCGTTGGGGCCTGGTGCTCGGACACACCGTGGACCAGAAACCCCGAGTCCAGCCGCTTAATCCTCTTCACCTGCTTCCTCCGCCGGGGACGGTACTTGTAGTTGGGGTGGTCCTGCATGTGCTGGACGCGCAGCCGCTCGGCCTCCTCTACAAAGGGCTGCTTCTCTGTGACAGGAAGGGCTTTCCATGATTTCCCTGCAGGTCAAGAGCAGAATGAACATGAATGATAGGTCAGCAGATTGTGAACACAGCCTGGACATGCTTATAAAAATAGATTGTTGCCATTTTAGGGGACAGGGATGGGTTTTTTGAGGATACATGTGCAGCCAAGTTGGGACGTAGAAACTTTTTGACTCATTGCGACAACACCTGCTGCCTAAATGATCCGTAAACAGATGCGTAAAAAGCTTTTCTAACAAAATAAAACCATGGAGGGACAGAAGAAGGTGCGTAAAATTCAGTAAAATGAGAATTACTCGTCAATCTCTGTTCCAAACCTCTCTATTCTGCGTGTGGAGTTATATTTTGAATGATTTGATCACTTACCAAGCATTTTGCTGAGCTCCGCGTTGTGCAGGTCCGGATTTTGCTGCGCCAGCCTCTTGCGCTCATCCTTCGCCCACACCATAAACGCGTTCATGGGCCGTCTGATCCGCGGCTCGTTCTTCCCTCGGTTCTGGCTCGCGGAGCTCCCGGAGGCGCACGGTTCGTTTTTCACTTTAGTGTCCCCGAGAGGACTAAGAGGGTCGGCCCACTGGCAGTGTCCCATTCCAGGCATCATGACTGACATCGTACACCTTGCCTGGGTCTGATCGTCGCTGGCGTAACCCGCATCGGGACTACTCATCTCTGTCCGGCTGGGAGGTTTGGAGAGACAGCTCGCAGAGACGTCAGCGCACTACTGAGAAGAACCTGCAGATTCTGCGGAGAAGAAACTCGGTAAGGTGTCTGGTTTCTGATCTAAACTGGAAGATAACGAGTCACATCCATTGGCTGTTTCCAGGAGGCGCGTGAACTCAACCACACTGAGTACTCGGAGCTGGATGTGAAAGCTCGTGAGCTATAAAGTCACAGGCAGCCAATCACCATGTTGGGGGGGAGTGCCCACTACAAAGGTGTAAAAAAGTTTGGAGTACTCCGCCTCCGAGCCTTATGTGAAGAACTGAGACCCTCTGAGGACAGACGCTGAGAGACGACATAAATTAATACAAATTAAAATATTTTCACGAGATTAAGATTAAAATTGGTCGATTGTAAGATAAGAGAACTCTAATTCGTGCGATCAGTAGGGATAAATTCGTCCAATAAATGCGCTCTGGAGAATTTGGAGCGAAAAAAGTGAAACAGGTTAACTCTTTAATCTACACTCACGTTTAATTAGACGTCTAATTTTAATCCCGACTCTTGATTTAGACTGATACTAATGCTCCGACATCAACAAACTCCACATCAGTCTGTGTATTGGGACAGTCCCCGTGTTAAAATCTTGAATATCAGGTTTACGCGTGGAGATAATGGCTCCCTCATTCGCCACTTTTACGCACGACCGTCTCGATGGTGACTTTCTTTGATTGCAGCCTAATAATAGAAGGCGTTAATTGATCACTCGAATGTCGCTGAAAGTGAATCAATAAGACTGAGAAAGAGATTAAATAAACACCCATCACGCTCTACCTTTAAGGTGAAATGGCCTCTTACGCAAGAAAACGTGTTAATCGTGGTGATACTGAGTGTTTCTGTGTTCGCCTGACTAGACGTCTCTCGGGGATTAATGACCCAAACAAACAGCTGATGGATTAAATTGAAGGCATCGAACACATTTTCGGTTTCATATTTATAGAGAGAGCAGGAATCTGTTTTAAGAAAAGCCCAAATATCTCTTCTGTCTGCTTTTGACTAGAGTGACATAATCCAGGGACGCAGTGGGAACAATGCCAAGCCTTCAGACTAAAAATAAATCCGCACATTTGGGAGAATGTATTATTTTTATGCACTCGGGATCTAATTCCAAGCTATTATACCTCTTTCAGCGAGTCACACAAAGCTTGAAAGAAGTACTACCTAAAATATCAGAGTTATTATGTCTATATCAAATTACGTCTACTTCACTGGAGGCTCTCTGACTTCATTGTGTGCTCTGTAATCCTTGTCTGGGTTTACACTGTAAAAATGCTTAGTCATGATAACTCGACTCATCTCAGTTTTACTCCAAATAAGTCAAAGTTCTCTGATAACTCAGTATTTAGAGTTTAAGTTTCTTATCTTTAAAGCGGGATTCAATTTGAACAGAAATGTCTCATGATAAAGTCAACCTAAGTTTATGACTTATTTAGGAAGTGATTATGCAAAGGGATTACTTGAACAGAGGCTACTGTTTCCTCATAACAAGAATATCCACATCAGCCATTAAAGAAGTGCTACTGTGTTTTTTTTCATGTTCTATTTATAGATATCGAGTTAAAATGTCTGTATGAAACCTGAGCATGATTTCAAATTGAATGTTAAAGGAAAGCATCAGACGCCTATCAATAAACATAAAAAATTTTGATGTACTTTTCAGCTCAGATTCGAAGTCCAAAAATTCATGTGTCATGTGGCAACAGTGGTGGAGGCTCCATGAGTGTAGGAGGGTTCTTAAAGAGACAGTAAGTAAAGTTAAGGGTTTTAGACAAAGGCTCTTATAATGAATCATAAGCACATTTATAAAGCCTGATACATAAGTCTTTAAGGCTTTATAACATCTCTTATGAGTGATTATAAGCATTCATAGCAGCTGATAGCATTGTTAATGAAGCGTTATAAGCAGTAAGCCTATGAGGCCCTCTAAAGGGATGGTTTAACGTGCATCTTTTATTATTTTTAATTCTTGGTTTAAAAACAACTTGACCAGATTATAAAGGCTCATAAAGAACTTATTCTATGTATCATAAAAAGTTATAATTTTTATTCAGAAATCTATAAGCATAATTTGGGGACAGTACTGTATAAGATTATTAACAATTATATATTATAACAAGTAATCAGTTTTTTATAGTTTCAGAAAACAAATACTTCACAATAATAACTATAATTTTACATTTTAAAAAATTATCTATAACACTTTAACATTGCTATTAGCTTTTCTGAATGCTTATAATCACTGATAGGGGTAGTTATAAAGCCTTATTGATGCATTCATAGGGTTTTATGAATGTGTTTATGGTGCACTATTAGAGGCTGGTTCCTATAAAGTGTTACTGGGATATTTTTTTAGCTGTAAAGTTACAACAAAACTTTCACGAGGACATATAAAGCCTGAAAATGAGCCAAAAACTCCCTCTTATAGAAAAGGAAAAGTTATATATCAACAATGTTTTTGCTAGTTATGTAGACTAAAGCATCAAAAGACAGATATTTGACTTTTTAAAGTTTCTTTTTGTTTTTTTGCATGAACACGAAAATCTTGACATATCTTAAGTTCAGTAATGTTAAAATTTTAATTTAGTTAAGACACTAAATTCTTCAGTTCAGTATATTTAGTTAATATAAGCCATATTTCTATCCAAAAGTGTCCCTCTGTGAGACTTTATGAACTGCAGCTTGATGAAATTTATGTGTTTGACATCGGCCCTCAGTCCATTACAGTCTGTATTGACTCTTTGACACACGTGTCTATAGAAACGTGTGAAAAAGTGTTTCCTTGTTTTGAGAGCAGCTGTGTTTCAATAGCACTGTGATACAAGGGGGTGAAAAAAGGTTAAAGCAACCTGTTACACCTCAAATATCCAGACTTGGAGTGTTTACTCAGCAGAGAATGAAGCCCCCCGTGTTTGTGGCCCAGAAATCCAAACACCACCAAGTGACTGCGGGGGTTCTTATCAGAGTCCGCAGACCTCAACCTGTCAGCTCCTCCACTTCTCGCTCTTTTCTTGTCTCTGGTTTGTGGGTTACCGTGCTGGTGACTCGTCAAAGAGAGCTGACAGAAATATGAGAGATGCTTATGCAACCTTTTGGTGCCCCCATACAGACACCGGCGGGACTCCAGAGCACGCCGGGTGACCCTCTGGAGGTCGGTGGGAGGGCGATTTGGATGGAAGGACAGGATTTAGACTATAATACTGTCATCGTCTATTTTACCACTGATGACCTGATAAGGTTTTCCCCTCGAAGAGTAAGGGAGAGGAGAAAGAGAGAGTGAGTGTTTGTGTGTGTTTTTGTGTGTTAACATGGGCGTGGGTCTGAGTGTGCCCCGTCCTCATCGCTCTCCCTCGCTGTGTGGGAGTGAAAAACCCTGGCGTTTGATGGGAGAAGTCATAAAGTCTGGAGTCGTAGCCACATTTCCTCTACAAGGTGAGGTTCAGAGTCAACCCAGAGGAGAGGAGGGGAGGTGACATGCCTTACGCCCCCCCACTCCTCCTCCTTCCCCCCAGTCCTCCCCCTGTTTCTCCACCCCGTGCCTGGGGAGTCTGGGGCTGGGTGGGGGCCAGGGCTCTCGACGCCAGCCTCTGGACTCGGCGCTCAGGGAGAGGTCACTTGGCTTGCTTACACAATGGCATTATCTCAGTTCCAGCCTCGGCTACTGCAGCGGTGAGCACTTCCTGTCCCTCTGCAAGCACTTCCTGTCCTTGGCGTAGCAGCACAAACTGTCCGCCTTCCAAGTGAGTTCAGAAACGCGGTGGAGCTGCTGGTCGCCAGTCTCGCTGTAGAAACGTCTGTGGGTGGCTTTCTTGGGAATTGCACAATGTGTTTGCTGGCTCCTTTGTGCCGCGCTGTGAAGTCGCGGTGTTAGTTTAAATCACAGGGACGGAAGGTATATATGTGTTAGCACTCTGCAGTGATCCCCAGAGCTGCTCCACTCCTCTGGCCTGAGATGGACAAAGCCGCAGAGAGAGTGTTTTTAGTTTGAACAATACTCGGCCAATTAGCAGCAAATGTTTGGGTATTCTGCCTCAGGCGTGACCTCTTGTGTGTGTCCAGCAAATAAATAGTATTTTACATTGTTAAGTATGATCACAAATTATGATTAGGTACAAGCTGTCCCTTAACATTTGTCAATATTTGCACCTTTTTTTAAAGATAACCATTTTAGCCTCACTGTTGTTAGGAGTCATGGTAATGTGTAGGGTGACCATACGTCCTCTTTTACCCAGGTTTCTTTTTTGGGGGGCTGTCCGGGTTTGTCCTGCTTTGTCTGGGGAAGTTTATAAAATCGTTCAAATGTCCTCTGTTTTGTACGTAAGTTTCAAGTTTGTGTCACGTTGACTTACTGAGTTAGAAGCGCGAAAAAGACACTCAATCCGACCTGAAAAACTCTCAAAATTAACTTAGTGCGACTCCGTGACTCCGCCCCCATGTAGTCATGTCCTATTTTTGGGAAGTCAGAATATGGTCACTCTATCTTACAATGATAAGTATGATCACAAATTATGATAAGTACAAGCTGTTCCTTAACATTTGTCAATATTTGCGCCTTTTTTTTAAGCTAACCATTTTAGCCTCACTGTTGTTAGGAGTCATGGTAATGTTTAGGGTGACCATATGTCCTCTTTTACCCGGACATGTGCTCTTTTTTTAGGGCTGTCCGGGTTTGTCTGGCTTTATAAAATCATTCAAATGTAAGTTTCGAGTTTGTTTGGACCTACTGAGTTAGAAGTGCATGAAAGACACTGAGTTGTCCCTGAACATTTGCCAATGTTAGCATCTTTTTTTCAAGCTAACCGTTTTATTAGCTTAACTATGTTGGAAGTCATGGTAACATTGTCCTCTAAAAGGCTAAGAATCATAAGAATATAACATAAAAACTGCAGATTATTTTTTTTTTGGTACCAAAAATGTTATTTTTTTATTTAAATTTTTTTTTGTACACGTTCTGGGCTGTAAACTGCAAATCAACGGAAAATAGCTAACATGATGGACGAAATTATTTATTTGGAGTCAAGTCAAATTTTACGTTTTTTTTTATCACCTTTGATTTTTGGTCTCAACCACCTCTCTACTGGGGCTATATGCCAAACAGTTTTCTTAAGCTAGCTTCTAAGATACTGAAGGAGAGGAGATGCAACGGTGTCGATGTCAAGACTCTGCAAGTGACAAATCTAATGACAGAATTTAGCTTCAGAAGGTTAAAACGCTCTTGGTGTTTAGATTGACAAGGAGATAATACTCTGCTCTCTACAGCCCTTTAAGAAACCATTATATATGACAAAGTAAAGATGTGCCTTTATTTAAAAAAAGACACATTTTTGCTTGAAATAGACAAATTATTATCCTTCTAGATTCAAGAATAACTCACAGATCTTGAGGGTTACGGCTCAGTTACTTCTGGAAAACCGTTTTAAACTCTGTACAGTTCTGAATGCACTTGAAGTGTGTAGACATCTGTCATTATCAGCGATTGTTTGGAGTGTTTGATTAGACTATGACTTCCTCCAACACCTGATCTTGCAGAGCGGGAGGTGTTTCAGAATGGGGGGAAGGGGGAGAGAATGAAGAGGTTAAGCAGGCGAACACATAACAGGTGTGCAGCAGGGAAAAGAGGAGAAAAACATCTCTATCTCAGATTGATTCTCTAAATAGAAATCACACCTTTTTTACTGAAGCTGGAAATTTTCAAGTTTCAACCCTAATCATGTCAGTCAGGAGATGTAAATGACTGTTTTTTTTCTACCATCAGCTGTCAGTCAAACTCTTCAAATGCCTTTTGAGGACATACAGGATCTTTGCTAACCTGAATATCACCCCGTAAGGAGGATTGCAGATATGAGAGATCATGCACAGGGTGAAGTGGTTAATAATGCTCGCATAAAGGATGTGAGAGTTTATGTTTGGTCACGTTTTTTTTCTCAGGTCATCAAAAATTGGGGACTTGAAATTCTGGTAAATTATACAGAAAAAGAGGATTGAAACTGGTCATGCGCTTAAACATGAGGATGGAAAAAAAAGGGTTCTTAGCCTCGCACTATGGAGCACATGCAGATGTTCTTATGCATTGTATCGGCGATATAGTCTTCCCCCTCCCCCAGGGGATTGCTGGGAAAGTTCACTTGCCCGGGAGCACACACCTCAGCCCTGTTAGAAAGGGTAGCACAGGGATGTTGTCTGCCCTAGACAAGCGGGGACACAGAGGAAGCTGTCTCCACTCTCGTCTCATTGTTCTGGAGGCGTTAATCTGTCAGGGATCTGCTGGGAATCAGGTGGGAATCTACTCGGCCCTGTTGAATGTTTATTGGCTGGTCCGTTGCAGAAAAGAGAACATTTGGACGTCTTCACCCTGTACCCCTCTGCTGCACCATCCTGCCCCCGCCTCTTGAAGATGCTCTGATGATAAAACTATTTCTTGTTTGTCTCCGCTGCTTCGTTTGGAGATGAGCACATCCGTTTTGTCTTCTCGTCTCGCCCTTTTTCTCCTGAAGCCGCAGTCCAAGACAAATCTTAAATATGCTTTTAGTCATGCTAACATGAGGATGTTTGGAAACTTTTCACCACCAGTTGTGGTGACCTCGGGGTTTGCTCGCTGCCAGAGGTCAGCCAACAATAAAACGGAAGCAACAAGTAAAATAATCAAAGTCTTTTTCCTGAGAACATCCATAGAGTTGTATTTTCACTCAGGGGACTCAGAGGATACAGCGATACAAATGTGTGATATCATGGACATTGTTTAAGGCTTCAAATCTTTGGCATCGGGGCCCTGGCAAAGAGAGAAAATGGCCACAGTTTTAAAGATAATACAATTCAGTTTAAACAATATATCAGGTTGACAACAAACATGTAAAACTTAACCAAGGGAACAGTTTTGTCAAAGTCTGAGCTGCCTTTTTTCATGCTTTAACTCTTCATGTTTCTTTTGGTCTTGAATCTTATTGAATTTTACTTTTCAGGACACGCCGGCTGAAGATATGAGTCTGCTTGCTTAGCCGCAATACTTTCTGACTATGCTTAACTTTTCATTATTGTAAATGTCTTAATATGGGTTCAGAGATGCTAGCAACTTTCAGGATTAAATACTGAACCCAGTTAGCTGCCTACATTCAACCCTTATTGCCAGTTAAAGCTTAGCTGCTTTAATCTGTGGCTTTATAGTTACTGAGACATAAGAGTCGTATTGAAGAGGAAAGCCAATCAGCAGAGTTAAAAAAAAAAAAGCTCCTTAAACTTTAGCATGTAAAAACCGCTCTTTTTTTTAAGCCCATCTCAAGTACCTGCATGCATTTTTTTATCTGAGTTGGAGTGTGACGTTATGGTATTGTAATGCTGCGTTCCAGTTACCTCAGAATTCAGACGTCGGAGCTGGGAATGACGTTACACCCGAGTTGACGACATTCCAGTTAACAAGTTGGAAAACCAAGATGGACGCCTACTGTTAGCCGTTGTTTACAATTGTCAGCTGTCGCTGGCCGTTGTCAGCAGTTGTTAGCCATTGTTATCTGTTGTTTACTGTATTTTACTGTACTTGCACTGGAGTACTGTGACAAAAGCAATTTCCCCCGAGGATTATTAAAGTATTTCTGATTCTGATTCTGATTGTTTACAATTGACAGCAGTTGTTAGTTGTTGTTAGCTATACCAGTTGTAAACAACGCATAACACAGTATTTTACTCTTACAAACACCATAGCACCGTGTTCACAGTTAGAAGTTTGGCCATACAACATATACCACTTATTCAATTTTACAAAAATGAAACAGAAATGCTAATATGTAAAACATTACGAGAGATTTTACTGTTAATGCACTGTGCTGCCATCATGGATTATGACGTCATCAAGTTGGGGTTGGTGAGGATCGTCTGACTTTTAGAGTCGAAAATCCGACTTAAGGGGCGTTCCAGATGAATTCCCAATTGGAGCTAGGGAATTACGACTACCGAGTACAACTGGAATATAGCACAAGGCCATCATAAGGCTGTACAAAACATTCAATTAACTTTTATCAAGGTTTAGTAAAAGACAGAACTTCACAGTTTTCAGTGAAGACATAAGAGGCTCTGTAAAGTAAAAGTTCCTCTTTAGAGCTTTAAAGTGTCTTTCTACCAAAACAGAATTTGGTTTGATCACTTTAAGTGACGGTTTGAACGGAAAAGCTGAATCACAAGTTTAATTCTTGAGATAAATTTATTAGGTAATAGAAAAATGATCTTGACAGATAATTTTAGGTTGGAAAGCTTTGAGCTGAAATGAACCAGAGTTGACCTTTAACCTTCCTGTGCAACTGCCCCCTTACTCTCGAGATGACACCCACTCATTTATGACCAGGTTCTCACTTCTTTAAAGCAACACCACAGGGAGTCAAATCAAAAATATATTTATAGCACATCTGATTGACTTGTGAATCACCATTAATGAGCGGGGGGGAAGGGAAAACCCAGGTTTCCTCAGCGAAATGAACAGGGAGGTCAGCCGAACAGGAGATCAGACACTTTTATCTCCTCACTTTTACTGACCTGACCAAACCCCCCCCTCCCCTCTCTCTACCGTCCACCAGCACATTGTCCTGACGGGGGCTAATTGAGACCTGTGTTTATCATTTTTATGACTTTATCCATGAAGACAGAGGTACCGTGAGCTTCCTGTTCTCCAGGTTCCTTGATGGAGCGGTCACATTATTAGGGTCAGCGTCGGCTCCCATCTCGCCCAGCATTGTTCCAGCTGGTGCTAAGACCATTCCCAAACTGATAAGACTTTGTCTATTTTGGGACTCTCTTTTTATGTCCTTGACATGAGTTTGAGCCAGAAATAATTTTTTTTAAATTTCCTACTAAATGCCGATATAACATCACAACAAAAAAGTAACAGTAAAGTATAAAAGCAACCACTTTTATGTACTTTTCACAGCAAAGGGAAGAAACTAGATACCATTTGATGTCTTTGTAGCGCAAGTAAGGAATTACTTCACAAGTTTTGGTGAGAAAACAAATGACAGATTATGTCCAAGCAGCATTATTGTTTTTCTGGCAGCTACAGCCTCATAAATACTGCTCTCCACAACTTGACCTGTTTTTGACCCCTCCGCCCAAAGAAGTCCCTCAATTCATCTCGCTCCAAACTAAAACACCAGCAAGACAACAATCTAGATTTTAAAATCACTGTCTGATGCTGTCTTGTTGAAATCTGACGGGTTAATTACTGATCAAACTCTCTGGATATGGTTTTTAGAGACAGAGCGGTCTTTGTGTTTGACAATCAGGGTATGAATTGATCAGTCAAACACTCTGGATCCTTTCATGTGTGGCCTTTGCCTAGTTGGGGCGCTAAAGCAACACCGCGGAACAAAACACAGATACCCCCAAGGGTGCAAACAGGGCGCCACGCCAGCTCACGGTGTCCCAAAGTCGATCAATAATTGCATGTGTGATCAGTAAGAATCTGGATCAATAGAGGCGAGCGAGGGCGCAAGATAAGGAGAGAAGCTTCTGGATCCTGGAGTTGATCCTGAAACTGCATCATACGACTCGGTTCAAATTGGAGTTTTTATAGCTTTTTCTCTTCCTGTTAAATAATGCAAAATCATTTTTGGAGATTACAGAACAAATACTCCCAAACTCATGGCTGGAACTTCCTCATAGACGCAACAACTTCTCTTTTACCGGGCTGCGGTTGCAAGCTCCTTCAAACTGTCTCCCCATAGCAGCTCTGATCTTCACACTACCTTTTTAATGATGTAACACTTCTCTTTTATCACGCTGGGTTTAAGCTGCGCACATTTGAAAAACACCAACATGCGTCTTTGGTCATGTTTGCTCCTCTCAGAAACGCTCTGCCGACCCTGTAGTCCTTCTTTGTGCTAAAGTGAGAGAAATGGCCAAGGAATGCACTGCATGTTGTTTTCACACATCTGTGGTTTTATGGAGGAAATGCACCGTTTGTGTGAGTGCTTCCTCCCCTAAGTTGTTCCCTTTACACCAACGCTGTGTAGAAATGAGCAGCGCTGAGAGGAAGAGCCGACCCACCTATAACAAGATTCACACATATTTTCTTTTAAATTGTTTCTTCTTCAGGGAGATGAAGCAACCCCCCCGTCAGCTGTCTCCTTTCAGACTTCCGTCAAAATAAAACCCAATGGGTTCATTAAATTGTGACACAAATCAGAGTCAAGTTCGCGATGGTATGAGGTGAAATAAAACCTGATCAGTGGTGTGAAAATTTAGCTTTCACCTTTTTTTACCCTTCCTTTCTGAGAGCAAAGTGATATTATCGTGTTTCAAAAATAAATGATTAAGAGGAAACCTTGTGGCTGTTTGGGCGACACTTTTTTATGTCACATTCAAACCTTCATTAAAGTTTTCTAAATGTGCCCGACTGGAGTATTTTATCTATAAATTATCTCACATATCTGGCTTATCTTACACTTCAAGGAGCTCCTGTGTTTGACTAAACCTCACAGTGTCTGAGTTCACCTGATGCAGATTATCTCCTCGGTTCATTTACACACAATGGATCATCAGTAACTCTTCACTGCCCGCCTGCAGCACCAATTCCAGCCCTCCAGCCCCAGTTTAAAGGCAAATATTGAGGTTTTTATGCAATAATGTGAAAACTAATCCTTTTTCTGGGCTCTACGGGGAGATTTTGACAGCTATCACATTTGTACGATAAATAAAACACCACAGCCTGCACCTCGGAGCAGTGAGTTTAGCTTCGTGCAAAGAAACCTACAAAGAAGTCCTCGAAATGTCGTGAAAGATACTGTAACAGTTGAGCTATCTCCCCTCTTGATTTTGTTTTTTCTCTTCCAATCATATTCAAGCAATCAGTGTCAGCTGACTAACGTATCTGCTGTGATTATTTCTCTATGATAACATGGGAAAAGCTCATATCAGGAAACTGGGGGGGAAAGTCCCTCCTGATATCATCACTAACTGCATCCAGACAAAAGCCTGCTACTACCTACGCTGACATGCTGCAGTGTTGGCGAAACAATGGAGACCCAAGAGGACGCTATCCGCAGCTGAAAAATGGCATCCACATAATCAGATCAATGCCCACAGTTTGGGGACTTTGAACTTTGCAGAAACTGTTGCAGGTTCAGATGTTTTTGGCTTTCCACCGTTCGAAACATGTCTTCGCCGCAGGCTGCGAGGCATGGGGCTTTATCAGATGGCCTTGTTGGCCTTGAAATAACACGGACTGTATCATGGCTCAGCAGACTTGAATCTGGCAGAGGTGACACAGGATAATAATAAATAAAACCTGCAAGGCTTTTTAAAAACGTGGTTTAAGACGTTTCTTTAAAGGGAGGCTTAAAGTGACAAACTGAGAAAATGAGCAAACCTTCACCAGATCAGTTCTCGCTGATCTTTATGAGAGTTTGATGGTTAGATTGGTACTATTGTTGTGTCCATGCACAAATGCTGTGTTCGAGTTACCTCAGAAGTCAGATGTCGGAGTTGAAAATGACGATTTCCCAGCGTTTCAGTTGTCAAATAGGAAAAAAGCAAAATCAGAGGTGGAAACAAGGTGGCGACATCTACGAAAGTTATTTTAGCGCTTGCCTTGTCCGAATTTAAGCAAGGACAAGACAAACGCTAAAACCTTGTTTAAGGCCTCCGAGTTTGCTTTTTTCCGACTTGGTAACTGAATTGTTGGAACACCGGTGTGACGTCATTTTCAGCACCAACATCTGACTTCTTAGGTAACATAAACGCAGCATTAACCCTCATTTTTCTACTCATCCACTCTATTAAACTAGATCCCCAAGGCTAATGCTGCATTCGAGTTACTAGGAAGTCAGAAGTCCGAGCTGAAAATGACGTCTCACCTGAGTTCCCAATGTTTCAGTTACCAAGTCGGAAAAAAGCAAAATCGGAGGTGGAAACAAGATGGCAACATCTACGAACGTTATTTCAGCGCTTGCCTTGTCTGAATATAAGGCAAACGCTAAAATAACTTTCGTTGTATAACTTTTCGCCATCTTGTTTGAGGCCTCTGATTTTGCTTTTTTCCTGACTTGGTAACTGAAACATTGGGAACTCAGGTGAGACGTCATTTTCAGCTCCAACATCTGACTTCTGAGGTAACTTGAACGCAGCATTAGCTTTGGGGATCTAGCTTAGTAGCGAGCTTATCTCAGCACAACAGCCATTAGCACTGGGAAACAGTTAGCTCAACCCTTCATTTTAGACCACAACATACAAAAAGTGCAGCATTAAATAGTTAAAAATTTACAGCTATTATATACAGTACATCTTGCAGTAGTGGGATGTAGGACTTCTTCTGCGACATGAATCTCCACATTTTTACCACAAAGCAGTCCGCTTAGCCGAGGCCACACTCAATCTCCTGCCACACTAATGTAAGGCCCAGATTTACAGAGTAAATCAAAGCAGGCGATTTCCTCCGCTCAGAGGAAAACCCCTCGGAGGAGAATGAGTTGATAATGTCCCAATGTGCCCCCGGTTTCCTCTCAGATAAATAAATACATAAATAAAAACACGCCTGGCCACTCCAGCTTTATTGTTCCTCTGTAGGCTGTGAAGTAGAGGCTATATTGTTTATAATAAATAAGTCCATTAACAGATTTGGCCCAGGTGGGTGACAGGGCCTCTGTGATATTCCCCCCACAGACACTTGGACCCCAGTGTGGTGCTGTAATACTTCCATTTAAGGAAGCGATGGCCAAGGAAAAAGGGGGACTGCAGAGGTTAGTGTTGGTTTGACTGGGCTGAGACTGTGTCACGTTTTCTGGAGTGATAAGAGCCGGAGCAGGAAGCTGTGAGAGGGCAGGAAGGAAGAGAGCTAAGGTCTGGAAGGAGAGAGGGGAGTCGTGGAGAAGGAGGGATGAGGGTGAAGAGAGAGCAGGCAGCAAAAATAAGAAATTTAGAAATCCAAAATGCACCGCAGTGAAGAAACCGATCTTAAATAAACGCAGCAAAGCACGGAGATTAAGTCTGATTCTCTCTGCAGTGTGTAAGAGGGCTGAGCTTACTGGGAAACGCAGAGGGAACCTGGGGTCTAAGAGGAAGTGAGTGGATGACTTAATTTGGTCTGAAAGGCCACGCAAGCATACACCTGCTTCCCGCAATCAAACAGGCCACAAAATGATGACGGTATCCAGCTCGGAGCTTTGTCTGTGAGCAGAACATCAGAAAAATGAAGGTCTGCAGCTCTCTCAAAAATCTGACGCTGAAAAGTTTCTGCTCTTGTTTTTGCATTTTTTTAAGGGTCTGTTACAGTTTTCGAAATTTGGTTTCTCTGTCTGACTGCGAGTGGCGAGTTATGAGTAAGCTTTCCTGTCTTATCAGTTGCTCATTTCTTTGTACCTCTAAAAAAAACCTCTTTCTGTACGTGTTAGGACACCACATGTAGAGTTTAAAAAAGATTACCTCGATGCAAATTGGTCGGTGCAGTTTGATTCAGTACAACATGAATTTGTAGTCTCTGTGCTCCTGTTGGACTTTAGCCACTGGAGAACCCCCCCAGGTGAGAATATCAGCAGCTCAGTTCCACCGCACACTCATCTTTTCCTCTTTTTAATCAATCTGTTCATCTAAAAAGGATTTCTCTATTTTGAGATTTTAATCCAGTGTCTGAGTTAATCTCTGAAACTCAGGGATTGGTGGAGAGGACAGGACGGGGCATCAAAGCCACTCAACTTCAGCCCTGCTCTCACAATTACACCAACCGGGCATCAAGGCGGCCGGTAAATCAGGCTCTTCTAATGCCTCTCTGGAAATTAATTTTCTGAGGCTCGGAGCTTCCTCATGTAGGTCAGTCAGTCGGGCTGATTCGGTTGATTTCAACAGCATTTTTCAGTCAGATTGAACAAGTGTGAATGATAGTCAGGCCTCTGTCAGGCTGTGTTTAAAAACAACAACTGATGAGCTGGATTTAAGATGTGAAGTTTGAACTGTAGTCTAAAATCCTGCCGGTTAAATGTGAGTTTGTGTTGATGAGAGATGCAGCCTGTCTGACTTAAAAATGTGAATGTAACCCAATAAGTATCCAGAAGTTCTGCTTTACTTTGTTCTGCAGATGGTTCCTGAACTCTGTCCCATTTGGACAGTCAGTATAACAGAGAGAGCCCTCCACTGGAGATGAGGGGTATTACATTCAAATCTGAAACCTCTCTGCCTGACAAAACAATAAACATTAAATAGAAACAAATCTTTTTTTTTTTTTTTGTTGCAGACTCCATAAAGTACTTAAGTTAAAGACGGTAAGGGTTTTGTCCCCATGTTTGAAGTTTTACGCACACAAAGAGACTTTTTTAAGGAATGGTGGGTAACATGGACTACTGAAAAAATTATAAAACAAGATTCAAGCCTTATATTAAAGCTGCCTTAATCCTGAGCTGACAAATATAAACTCTTAACCTTCCTCCTGTGTTAGCTTTTACTACACACCCACTATGTTAAGGGTCTTAAATCAGCTGTAAATTACACTAAAAACAATTCTCTATCATCCAATTTGGTTCTCATCTCTAAGTTACCTTGTTAGGCTTCATTATACATGAAAATATTACTTATAATATTTTTTGTTGTGGTCCACTGAGCCTTTCTTTGTCAGTGTACCCCTCATACAAACATCAGTACTGAATTGATCTCACATGTCTGGACGTTGTTTTTTGTGCAGGCAAAAATATGACAAAATGAGAATTTCCTAAATCTCACATGATTGGAAGAGTGCGTGGTGCCTGTGGTCAGTGTGGTGCCTGACGGCGCACTTATGATTTTAGTTTTTGCTCCAATTATTAGATATTGATCTAACCAGGTCAACAGCGACCCTAACACGACAAGTGCTATTATTTTTATAAGAACATTTTACAATTTAGTCAATTTGATTATTTTTATTTTGTTAAAATAGAGGTTCCTGACAAAGTCAAAAAGTCTTGATACAAAAAAAGCTAATTTAAGTTCTTTTAAGCATTTAAAAACAAAAGCGGGTCGGTGCCGACCCTAACACAGGAGGAGGTTTAACGTATGTTTATTGCCGAAATTAAAAGTAATACAGAACAAAGATGCTTTGTCGAACACCCTTTTTAAGGCATTGATGGATATGAAGCGTCACATTTTTCCTTCTTCATGAGCACAAGTCAAAGTTTTGACTTCCCCATCGAAATGTCCTGTATTTCTTTAGCGATGATAGCTGTCTTATTTGTGATCAGGGCGGGAGTCGAATTATGTCATTTACAAAGATATCATACTGCTGGAGTGACGTTTACAATTACCCGGGGCAGAGTCAGAGAGTCTAGCCTCCACTTGCCCTCTGAGGTCTTTATTAGAGGTCTATTACTGTAAAGCTGCTATCAGCTATTGGAGGGGGGGGTGGGGGTCTCCCTGGCTGCCACTAAGCAGTAAATAAATATGAGCCTATTGTATTCTCGTAGCCTCACTGTCCTTGCTCTTCCATGCTGAGTAAACGCTCACATACAATGGGAGGCCGGACTGCCTTGTCATTCCTGATCCCCGTAGATTGCTCCTGGTGGTCCTTTGCCTGGGAAAGTGGCAGCGGAGGAAAGAGGAAGCAATGAAGAGGGGATCTGTGGGAATATTTTACTGTACTACATCTTAGAAATTGGGGCAATCTGAGAGTGGAGGTCATTTACTTCAGCACAGTTCTGAGGACTTGTCCTTACCTTTATTTAAATTTTCTGTAATTCACAGCATAATCTTAGAGATTTTAAATGCAGGATTATTGCTTGTGAGTGTTTCAACAGTCATTTAGTTACTTTACTAGATGATGAAGATGATCTAAACTCTTCCTCTGCCAGCAGTTTGTCATTTCTGTGACTCTGTGTGTGCCGAATAAAAAGATAAAAGAAATTGAAAGTTGTGGAGGTTTCTGGCCTCCTTATGCTGCCTGGTGGAGCTTCCTCCCCAGTTTCTCCACAGGAAAGAGCTGACAGAGCTGCGTGGACTCTCAAAGCTCTTTGCATGGCAGCAGGAGCGAGGCCTTGAGTGAGTAAGGGTGCAGCATCACCCCCACGGGACAACATTACTCAGGCCAGTCCCCACCCAGGCATGAGGTGGCCAAGAGCAGACGCGGGCAGGCGCTGCCGTCCTGTAATCACCGATGACATACATGAAGTACTTTTCCAGATCGGTTTTCCTGTCCCTCCAGCTGCGAGTGGGGCAAACAGCACAGGAAGAATAACACAAGTCGCAGGCCAGGCTCAGGGAATGTGGCCTTAACAAACACAGCACAAATAAAAAAGTTAAAAGGCACGCTGCTCTCCTCCTGAGAGCCTCTGAGCGAGGGAAGTGAGGCTACGTCCTGAGAGAAGGTCCAACCTTCCTCAACACCCACACAGCAACAATAAGCTGCCAATCAAACCCGACACTGTTTACAGGGAGCAACCTGCTCAGAAAGGAGGCTGAAATCAAGATAGCTTTTCTGACATGACAGGCGTACTTTGTCTGCATCGAGACATATATTTTCTTCCTCTGCTGGGTTATGAACTGGAGTTTTCTTAACCCTTTAATGCCTTTTGTATCATAATTAATATATACTTTTATATACTTCTATCAAATCAATATGATCAACAAATTATAAAAAAACCCACCTAAATACAGTCCGATAAATAATAAAAATCTCCTCTTGTGGTTTATCAGTTTCCAAAAACATCTAATGTATCAAACAAGATAAATTTGTTAAATTTTAAGGACATTTTGATTCTTTTGGTTTTCAGTAGTAAGTGAAATAAAAATTTCAGCACCAGAAAAAAATGGAATTTTCTGATCATAATTTGTGGTTTGAGGCATTAAAGGGCTACTAATGTTATTTTTGAAAGGGAAACAGCAAAAATACGTCCACAGGAGAAGAAATGTGATTTATGTTATTATAGCTTTTACCTCTCTGGACCACATTTGACTCAAAATTAAACTTTTTATGATCAAAATTTGACTTATTTTTCTAACTAACAAAGATATTTAGAAGTTTGTTTTCAAGAGTACTTTTCTGACATGGGAGCTATTTTTCTCTCGCTTTTGGTTTTTATTTTAATTGACCTGAAATATATTTTTAATATGTAATTTGATCAACATTCCTCTTGGACTTATGCTGCTTCGAGTTAACTCGGAAGTCAGATGTCACACCTGAGAACCTGAAACAAGATGGCTACATCTACAAAAGTTATTTAGAGCTATCCTCATATCCGGACAAGGCAGGCGCTAAAATAACTTTCTTAGATGTAGCCATCTTGTTCCCCATTTTGCTTTTTTCTGACTTGGTAACTGAAACGCTGGGAACTCAGGTGTGACGTCATTTTCAGCTTGAACTTCTGACTTCTGAGGTAATTGACACTTAAAAAGTTGCATCCCCTTGTTGAGGCTCTGACAGTTTTTTTCTACTCTATCATGCTATATCAGAGCATTATATCCAAATTGATGTAGCTTAACACACAGTGCATTCCCTCCTCAGGTGCCACAGCACCATCCTGCTGCATGCATATAGTCCTCTACCTGCTGAGAGGCCTGGTGGGCTGTTAGGCTTAAACCTGCTAAGGCAAACAGCAGAGGTGTTAAAGACGCCACGTCAACACAAGCTAACAGGTGCCCTCTGACACGGCAGTGAGGAAGACACTGACTGGTGTAGCTTCAACACTGTGTCACTGGTCCTTTCTTCTGTATGGAAATATGCTGCCTTCGAATGTGACTGTGGTAAACAAATGGGAGATACTGTTGCCAGGCAACAACAAGATGAAGGCCAAAAAGAGAAGGGGAAGCGCTTCAATTAAATGATTAAATGAAAAGTTAATAATCTAAATAAACGCTTGTCATCGCTCCTTTTAGTCTGTTTGGTAGCAAATGTTAACTGGATTGTGTTGCTGCACTCATGCTAATGTTAGCTAGCTTGGCCCCTCTACATACCCTGCAGTAACATAACAGTAAATAACTGTACACTGCAAAAAAAGTAATTCCAAGAAAGGAAAACAGCCTTGTATTGAATAAATTAAGTCTTATTTTTTGTACAAAATGAATATTGATCTTGTCAAGCATGTTTGGCATCAGAAAAATTATCTAATTTTAAGAGAAAACGGCTAACTTTTTCTTGATAAGATATTCCAGCTAATTTTGAGATACAATGAAACAGAAATAGAGAAGAAAAATGAGTGTAAGAGGAAGACATATGTACAACTTCTCAATTTAAGAATGTCATAAAACAAGAACAGTCGTTTTTTTTATATTAAGATTTCCATTGCAGGTCATTTGAACCTGACAGAATCTGCTGCCTCAAACATTATCTGACATATAAAGATGTTAGTAGGCTAGTCTGTACAACACACAACATAATACAATGACCAGATGAAAACTGCAAAACAACAAAGAACAACAAAGAACATGCTTGCTTCTCACATGCTTGCTTGTGGAATAAAAATATATATTTATTGACAATATTTTGGTATCTTGATTTAAGACAACATCCGTCATGCTCATAAATAATCCTAGATTAAGGTGAATATAAAGGTGTGTAAGTTCATTTATTCAAGAGACTAAAATTTTAAGTAACTTTATCTTCATTTTTTATTGCTTGCTGTAGAAAAAGTTACATTAATTTAAGATTTTCTGTCTAGTTTGAAGTTTCATTTGAGTCTGTCAGGGCCAAGAAATTTGGTCTTATTTTGAGAATTCTTGTCAAGCAAAAAAATCTCACCCCAATGGCAGATTTTTTTGCTTGATACAAGATTATTTGATTAAATATAACAAAATTTTGCTTCTTTCTAGTACAGCTTTTTTTGCAGTGTATTAATCTGACACTGCTACCATTAGCTTACTACCTACAGGACAGAAACAGTCTTACCTTCCAGGCCGTGTCGTATGTTGTCATGTTTTGTTGGGAGACAGTTTGCACTTAAAGAAGCATCGATCACAACAAGGTGAGTGACTAAGTTTGTGTGTCCTCATAACAGACGCTATGAGACTTTATGTTAACATTAGCTGCTTTGCTGGGCTCTTTATTGGATTTGGGGATGTTTACATTCCGGATAACCCTGAGAGATTGTGTAACACTCGACATAAGTATCTGTAAGTCCTTGTCCTGACTGACTCAGCTTGTGTAACTTGAGAAGTAAACATATCTAAAAGATATTAGCAAAACTGTTAGCGAGGGCGGCGCCGTCTGCCTTTGAGTTTAACATCCACAAGTTTGTGTTTGTACAAGCTCTGGGTTACCTCCTTCACTGTTTTCAAAATGTCAAAGTTATAATGTTAACGTTATTTTCTTTACTGTGCTTTTTAATCCGCTTTGATTAATGTGGAACAGAAACCTTGACAGGAGTAACAACAATGGTTAGGTGGGGTCAAAGGTCAACTGACATGTCTAGCGACTGTTGTTTGAGACCAGTGAAAATAGGGAAGCAGCAAAAAAAAACAGTAAGCCAGACCACTGAGTCTGGAATAATCATCATTTAATTGGTATCCAAAAAAACATCCTCACTTTCGCAACACGCACAGACACACAGACACACACACACACACACACACACACACACACACACACACACACTTAGTTCAGATAAACTCATTGACATAGTCGCAGGCTGAGTCACAAAGAGCCAGCAGACACAGAGGAAGAAGGTGTGACGTTATTTCCACATAAATATTCTGGTAGGAATGACTCTGAACACACGCCACATCGTACCGAGTATTTTAGGATAAAACATTATGACGAAAGTTACAGGATTCATACAAGAGAAAATGAATTAAATTAAATAAAAAAATCTCTTCCAATAGTTTAGAGGATTGTGTTTGTGTTAATCATCCTCTGAGTGTTTGTTGACAGGCGTTAGCCTCTTTGCTGAGAAACCAGATTGAGTATTGTATCTGCCCAGCAGGTCACAGAGACACACCCAGACGCCTTATTCTCCTCAGTGTGTCTGTCCGACATGTTACAGCAATCACCTGTCGGCTCCATCGACTGTCTGTCTCCTGGATGGAAACACGTCTAACTGCATGCTCATATTTCTCAAATTGATCTCCAGCTGTATAGATGGCTTATGTGTGCAGATTGATAGAATTTCTGGCTATAAAACTGGTCAACTCAGATGTTTGTGACAACCTGATCATACGCCTCATAACAAATCGATTTACAGAAAGGAGTCTGGTGCATTTCACGCCTGTCTGTTAACACTATTAGTGTCCTTTTCAGACGAGAGTTTGGGAATAAAGACATTTATTTTTCAGAGCAAGATCCTGTCCTGCAATCCAGGCAACAGCAGGACAGTTGGTGAGTGCACCTCAACACTGTATGTTGTTGCAAAATAGCTTGAAACTTGTACTTTAAACTCAACATTTTGTCATTTCTGCTTGGACCGTGGAAGCCTAAACAAGACCAGGGTTGCAAATTAGCCACAGCTAAAAACCTGTATGTATGGTATCTACTTTTTAAAATTTATTTATTAAAGCAATGTTTTATGCATTTGTCCGTGTCAAATTAGCAAGTTAAAGATCCTGTGAGGAGTTTATTTATATTTATAAAAAATCAGTTAAAATTTAGATTAATGACTTTTCATGACATGCAAAAGCAAACAGGAGCACCAGCAACAAGAAATTTTGATATGGTGCAATAGCAATTTAATTTGACTGTAAATTAAGTGTGTATTTTGAAGTTAATTCTTTCCATATGTGGGCTGATGAGAATCTGTTGCCATGGTAATGTTAAAAACTGTAGAGTCAGAGAGACTGCTATTTTAAGCTCCATTGAGAAAAATCACTTTTGAATTAATAAAATCACCTTGAAATTGATATTTTGTGAGATTTTTATGTTTTTAGTTGGTGTTCTGGTAATAAGAAGGTAAATGTTTAGTGAGCAGGTGATTATGTATATTCCAATGGACGAGTTTTAATATGCATAATCACCTGCTCAGTATACATTAACCCTTGACATGCCATTTTAATCCTACTTCGACTATTTTTAAATCCATTTTTCCCTTAAGATGTGAAGCCAAAGTCGTCTTTATGGCTTTACACTTTTGAAAATAGAAGTCAAATACTCCGTAAATTGAGCTATCAGACCCTTTGGTGTCTTAATGGTGTCTTAAAGCTTAAGACAACATACCTGAAGCCCAATCTAATGCTCCAAACCTGTGAGACGTTCAGATGAAAGCAGCTTAGCTTCCTCTGCAGGAATGTCCTGATGAGGTTAAAGTAATCTAATCGGCCCAGTTAGTGCATGATTAGAGACTGAGCAGACCTGAGTAATGAAGTGATCACAGAGACCCCAGAAATTCCTGATCGTACGATTACAAGGTGAGAAGACACCTAAAATTATCCAGCATGGAAATACATTTTCCTATTACAGAGTAAGTGTACCCTTTCTTTTACAGCCTCTGACCTTTTCTTTGGAACTTTTTTTAGGATAAAAAGCTGTCGTGTGTGTCACTTCAGGCCTTTTCCTGTTTGAGTTTCCTCCAGACAGCAGACGTTCCTGCTGGGAATTACTGGGATGAGCACTATCTGCACACTGCAGACCCAAATTTACCCAAACTGCACTCTGGACAGGAAGCTATTGATCATCTTCACGTGGGAGGTAAGACCAGAAAAACTAATTATGGCTCAGAAAACTCAGACGCAGCTTGAGTGTATTTTTGGGGTTTAATATAAACTCGAACTATGCGGCCAGTCGATATTAAAAACACTGACGAGTCATCTTTACATATCTAATCTTTGAAGAGGAAAGTATTTCATGTTTGAGGAGTGCTTCTTCTGAATTAGAGCATGTTTGACATGAGATTCCTCACATTCTTCAGCGGTGATAAGCGCAAACATGGCATGAGGAACTTGCAGCAGATTTTTTATACACGCGTGCATTCTTTGAATAACAGGGAAATAACTCTGGATGGAGATGACAGAAGTTTACACAAGAGTTTACGAGAAGTTTACACAAGAATCTCATTTAATCTTGGAACGGTTTGTATTTGTTGCAGATATTGCTCTTAAAATAACTGGAGAATAATCAGAGGAAAAAAGTATCAAAGGAATGACATCTTAAGAAAGTTCAGCCGCTGTCAATACAAAAGTAAATAAGAAAGCTAAAAATCAAACAGTGTCTTGTTTTTCAAAGGTTTCGTTCAAGTTTTACTTCTTCCACATTCACTTTTTTTTTTTTTATTACATTAAATAAATGCCAGGAAATCCAGCCGTGTAAATATTTGACAAATCCAGAGTTTCATGACGCAACAGAGATATCTCGTTTTTCCAGCTGTCTTTTCCATCACTGTTTATTGTTGATGATATTTTCACCTGAAACTCTGATATCATCCTCTTGTTTTTCCTTCAGGAAGTTCCTGCGACTGCTCATTAATTGTTGCTGAGGGGCCGCGGACTCAGGAAAACAAGTTGGAATAACAGCTTTGAGATTTTGAAGGGGCAAAAAACAAGAGCTGCAAGCAGACGATACAGATGTAACTCCATTTGATCGAGTGTAATTCACATTTTTTGCACTGCAGATTATTCCTGCATTCAACATTGCAGCGTGTTTTGTAATATCGTCCTGGGAATTGGGACTGACGTCAGATTTCTTCCGCTGATTCAGGTGCAGATGGATCTCCGCAGATCTTTACTTTCCTAATCAGCTCCTCCGCTCTCAGGTCATCCCTTCCTCCTCTCGTGTGCTTATCCATTTCCTCTCAGCATCTCAAACTTTTAACTTCCAGCACTGAGTCAGAATATTTCCCTCTGCAGACTCATTACTGACTCCACTGTCTGGTGAAACTCCTTTTAAGTTTTGTCTGGAAAAAAAAAATAAAGGGCCGTACTTCTTGTCCCATCTACACGCTTCAAAGTTGTGTGCCATGCATTGTAATCCTCTCAGGATGCAGAACTTTGATTTTCAGCTGGTAAATGACACAAAACAACACCGTAAAATAACTTGTTGCATGAAGATTTAATGGATAGTTGTGATTTGGAAAACTGAAAATGTGTCTGTAGATAAATGCATATGGAAATGTGGTGAATGATCCTTTCTGTTACCTTTTTAATGGCACAAAACATCTCTATCCAGCTCTATTTTAGAGAAAAAATAAAAGAAATACTTCAATAAAAAAGTTTTCATTCTCTGTAAACGAACATCTTCTCAGTCTCATTAAACTCGTCAGCTGAGTTTCCTCATCTATCAGTCCAGAACGGAGTTTGACCTCGAGGCTGTGACACAAAAAAACATAGGGCAGGGAAGTAAACATTTTCCTAAATGGGTAAACATTTGGCAGGCAAAGTGGAGTAAGTTTGAAGATATGTGGATTTTTGGGCATATTTTTAGACTCTTTGTGAAATGTTTTAAAATGAAACAGGAAGTTTGGGAGTTTGTGCCCCTGGCGCCCACCCTGCTTCCCTCTCAGAGCCGAGAGAGACGATGAAGATAAAAAAGAGCGTCAACATTTTTACGGTCTTGAAGGAGGTTAGTAGCCCAGAGATTGTGTAACATGACACATATTGCGGGGCATATGCAGTTAATTCAAAGGAATATTACACAGATGTAGGTTCCCATCAAGGGAAATAAACTTACTTTCTGTGGCTTTGTTTTCATTTCTCCTCTACAGCAAAATTTGACGATAACTGTAAATTCCTGGTTCTCTAAAATAACCACAAGGTTTGTTGGCACTATGGTAAAGGTCTTGAGATTACTGGTCATAAAAGTCAGGAAATAACTGTGATAAAAAGGCACGTGGGAGCCACTGAGCCCCAACCATCTCTGACGGAGAAACATACAGCAAGATCCTGTCCTGCAATCCAGGCAATGGTAACAAATGGGAAAATGTAAAGTGAACTGGTGATTGGAATCCCTACAAGATAATGACAAGGTCATGCTCATCTTGCCAGGGTTTTGATTTGCATAATCACTCGGTTACTGTAGATTATCTGGTGCATATAGGTCAGAGCCACTGTAAAGACTTGAGTATGTTTTTTTTTTAAATTAATGTACAGTATTTATAAATTATTATGCAAGTCAAATAAAAGAGTAATCTATGTCGTTTTTTTTGTTTGTTTTTTTTTTGAAGGATACAATAAGGACTTATTGTTTCCAAGTGGTGTACTGTTCAGGTCCACAGTAAACCATTTAACACGACCACACAAAAGTGTGAAAGCTTTGTCAAAATCTCACACCCGAACCTTTAAATGGATCATTTTGACAGCCTCAGGGTCATCGTAGGATCAAACTGTTTGACCTACATTTAAAAAAAAACCAAGGGGTTTAGCTTAAAAATTAGAAAAATAAAGCCAATAAAATCCAAATAAAGGGAGGAAATCTTTATCATATACTATTTAAAGCTCCTATTGGGAACTTTCTGTTGTAAGGCCCCCTTGTGGTCAAAGTAGTCTTTACCTGTCTTGTTAAGCTAATGCTTGAGTCGAGACATTTGCCAGTCAAGTCCATCATTAAATGTCAATATTTTGTGGATTTTGTTAAAAATGCAAGTTTTTTAACTGCTAAGCTGACACCCTCCCACACTGGTTTGAGTCTAAGAGAAATTATGATAATATAAAAATTGTCAGTCTTGTTGTTATTGGTCTTGTTTGCTTTCAGAGATCATGAAAAGACACCAAAATAAATTTCAGTCATTTTCATAAACCACAGAAAAAGTCCTTTTTGGAGCTTTAAAATTCATATAAAAGTCTGGAGTGCAAATTGTTATGTGTATTCACGACAACATAAACTGTTCATCGTTACAAAAGGGTCGGGTAGAGGGTAGCTGAAGTTTAGCCTACACATCCTAACTTGCAAAGTCTACCATGAGGTTGTATCTGGAGATCATTAAACTCGGGTATTCAATGATTTTGCAGCTTTGACCAATCAGGAAACAAGTCATCTTCTTAGATTTCTCACATTAATTTTTCCTCATTCTGTAAAAGTTGACTCATAAAAGTGAAGAAACTGTGTGCTAGAGTTTTAAAATTGTTTTGGTTTTCACTCTTTTTGATCTTAAAGATATCACTATGGACTTCAACATTGAAATTTGTATTAATTATTTATTGATACATTATGATAAAATCTGAAGACATTGCAAGAATATTTTAAGAACATTTCAGAAAACAGGATTATAGTACACGCTTCATGAATGAAACACTGAGATGATGTGAATAAATACAGCAGCTGTGGTTTTTTATGACAGTGTGTGTTCCTCTCTGTGGCTGCTCTGCTTTGTGTAGCTGTTGGGATCAACGGACTCCGGCCTCTGAGCACTCGGGCCCAGGTACTGTTCAAACTCGCTCCGGTCCAGATCGTACAGCATGTCCAGCTGAACTTGCTCTAAGTAAAACTCGAAGGAAGGTCCAGATGGGCACAGCAGACCTCCATATGACCTGGACTCTCCTTGATCTACATGTGGGCCTGCAGGACTTGAGAAACCGTACTGCATGAACCCACTCTGGCTTCCGAAATACCCCTGAGGTTCCACAGGGTACGCAGGCGGGTACACTTCAGGTTTGTTATGGAAAGTGTCTGCTGCTGTTTGGTCTGGGAAAACTGGAGTGTTTGTGTAGCCGTTGAAGCCGGCAGAGGTGTTATGGAAAGCAGGTGAGCAAGGGTAGTTTGGCTGCTGGTTCTGGAGCAGGTAGGAGAGGTTGTAGGGCGCAGTGTAGCCTGAGCTGCAGAGCGAGGACATAGGAATGGGTTCTGCACCAGGAGGCTTGCTGGAACTCTTCTTCAGCTGCTTCCTCCTGCGGGGACGGTACTTGTAGTTGGGGTAGTCGATGGTGTGCTGGACTCTGAGGCGCTCGGCCTCCTGCATGTAAGGACGCTTTTCAGCCAGAGACATGGCCTTCCAGGTTTTTCCTGCAGGGACATGAAGGAGTTAAAGATCTGTGCACTCACTGGTTACACTGAACTAGACAATTAGAGCTAACAGGACAACAAATACTGACTTTTAGGGTCTCTGTTATAACATTTAATGTTAATGTTATGAATATTGTTGTACCAATTTCAAAACTGGAGGGACTTTCTGGTGCAAAACTTGACAAACACGTGTCAGTTTGAACAGTTAAAGCTTTTCATTGCAACAATCCATCAAATCAAGTCTTTCAATCAAAATCTTACCGAGTATTTTGCTTAGATCGGTGTTCTCCAAGTCCGGATTCAGATGAGCGAGCCTCCTCCGCTCTTCTTTCGTCCAGATGATGAAGGCGTTCAGAGGCCTCCTGACTCTCTGCTGGGTTGAGGCGGACTTGCCATCCGGACTCGTGCAGCTGGAGTCCGAGTTGACGGACTGCGGGCTGGAGGGTCCTGAACTCGGGGAGCGCACCTCTGTCATCTGCTCCCCGTCTGCGGAGCCCGAGTCCTCGCTGTCGAACATGGCGCTGTTTGCGCAAAGCTGAAGCTGAAAGGCGCTGGGATCGTTGCTGAAACGCATGTTGGCGATGATGCTTTTGGTTGGCTGCAGGCCGGTGTCATCCTCTCGGTGATGCAGGGTGACGGATATATGTAGGGGCTCCGCCAATAGGAGGCCAGGAGGAGTGGATTTAAGGTGTGAATTTCAGGTGTTTTCTCGGGTCGGTGATAGGCCCATCTGACGCCCCAATCAACGACCTCGCGAAACTTCAGATACACAGATATGTCATGAATCTGTAATAATTTACAATTAAACTATTAGGCTCTACAACACATCTAACAACATGTGTCTGCAACACATCTAACAATTAGTATCTGCAATGAATAAGAGATGCGTAAAATAAGGTTCTTTATATTCCCTCTTTGCGCAGAAATATCACAGATTATAATTTAGGAAAGCTAAATTCAAAATCAACGAGAAAACAAGTAACAGTACACTCATAATTTAGTCTTCTCTCTCTTTTGGAAAATTCAATAAATATGTTTGGATATGCACAAACTTGGAGTTCAGATTTTCACAGTTTCTACTTTTACGCACGAGTATTGACAGTCTCTAACTTGGTGTATCATCTCTCCAACTGGATAAAATTCAAGTTTCAGTCATGATTTCTCAGAAAAATACACAAACTGGGAAAATCAAATTACAGCCTTGCCCATTGAAGACGAGAGAGAGATAGAAAGAGAAGGAATCTAATCAATAGGTCCTGAAAGGCAGGCCGGGTATTGATAGGACAACATCAAAGTTTTCAGCGGACAGACCTGGTTGATAATTACATTGTGGCTCTCAGCTCTTATCGGCCATCCACTGTCTCTATCAAAGTGTATTTTACACGACTGAAACAAACATGATCAAGGCGCGTTTATTACACGATTACTGCGCGCAAATATTTGCGCCACGCAGAAAACTGATAATGTGCACAAAGGCACGTGATGGGCTCACCTTTAGGACCCCAAAACACACAAAATACAAGATCTTTACAGCCTTTCTGGACTTGAATCAAACGACAAGGAAACTACAACAAATGAGTAAAAAGTGTCTCCTTAAAATAAAGACAAACCAAAACATAAAGCAGCACTAAGAGTGTATTGAAATCGGTCAAAACTGCAGCAGAGATTCAGACTCACAGAAACCTGAGTAGGGTGGCTGCATTGAATTCACATGTTCCTTTCCTTTGCTTCTGGCAACTTGTTTTATTTTGAAGAGGATCTGACTTAACCAATCATGTTGTGGGATAAAAAGCATAATAAAATATGAATGTTGTATGAAATAAAATGAATGGGATACCTGTCTTTCACACTTATTGGGAAAATGTTCAATTTATGTGAGAAAGTAATGAGAAAATACAAATAAAATGGCAAATTCCAGAATAAAAGTAATTCCAGAGCTTCATAAATGTAGAGTGAATGTTAAATTATTAGTGTATATACCTTATTATGGTGTGCAAAAGGGAAAAGTTTAACTTTAGATTCAGTTTTGTTCAAAAATACCTTTTAAAAACCACTTTTCAAAAAGGACAATTGTATACTTATGAATGTCCAATTGATGATTATGAGGATATGTACCCTTTGTGTTGTGTATTCCTCATTAATGAAACTCTCCAGTCGTGTGATCCCACTTTAATAGAATAGGGTGCCATTACAGGTGCTTTCTTCCTCTGTATAGTTTCAATGAATATCCGTCTTTGACACCGGCAACCAACATTACTCAGACAATAGATGTCATTACTGTGACAGCGGCGAACTTCCATCTGCAATACACGGACTGTGAGCTGCAGTCCTCCTACCATTACCTGCACCTGCACTGCTTTGTCCCTCTGTCGAGTCACCTAATGCGCCCACTTTACATTGCTAATACTGTGTATTACAGGTAACAGAGAAGAGGGTTAATACACAAAGTGGAGCAGGGCGGTTTGTTGTTTTACTGCTTTTATTTTGAAAGGGAACTGTGGAGGAAAAGTCACGCGCAGTTTTAGAAATTAATGGTCATTTTGGACTCTATTTAGACATAAAACAGCCAAAGTGAGCTGGATATATCGATTAATAAAACTATAGATTTGATTGAAGTAGCAACAATTTGACGCTAGGCTTCACCATTTTGTATTATTCGACAACCTAAAGAGGATATTGTTTATGAGGGTTTTGTTGCTATTTTGGACTCTAAGAAATAAAACTAGTCAAATTAAGCATGAAATATCGATAACAATACTGTTTAGAGTTGACTAAGTAGCAGCAATTTTACACTATGCTTCATTATTTTGTGTTATAACCTAAACACGATATTGTTTATGACGGTTTGTGGTCATTTTGGACTTTAAGAAATAAAATTAGCCAAACTGAACATGATATATCGATAAAATGCAGTTTAGAGTTGATTGAAGTAGCAAAAATTTTACACCATTTTTTATTGTTCGATTATTCGACAACCCTAAAGAGGATATTGTTTATGACGGTTTGGTTGCCATTTTGTACTTGAAGAATCAAAATAAGACAAATTGAGCATGATATATCGATAAAATGCAGTTTAGAGTTGACTGACAAGCAACAATTTTAAGCTAGGCTTCATCGTTTTGTATTATAACCTACATATGATATTGTTTATGATGGTTTTGTGGCCATTTTGCACTTTAAGAAATAAAATAAGCCAAATTAAGCATGGTATATCGATTAAAATACAGTGGAGAATTGACTGAGTATTTTGTATTATTCGATAACCTAAAGAGGATATAGTTTATAACCTCTAGAGGCTACTCGACAATTTCTTTTTGTTCATATGCTTTCTACTTAACTTTTAAAGAGTTATTTCTCAGTTTTGATAGTGTGTATGTGTGTAGGAGGAGGAGGGGAGGGGGTCTTTCTTCACAGGTTGTCAGAATTAGGGCTTGAATCCACATCCTCGTGGCTAAACGGGACGCACGCGCCAACGCGCTGTGAAAAAGCACTAATGGATTGAATCAATTAGCTTGAACGACGCAGCGTGAATACAATAACGTTAGTTTCGGCTGAGCTCTCCCGTGAATTGAATCGGCTAATTATTAAACAACGTTGAAGACACTCATATCTGGATTTTAAGTTTCAATATTACAGATTCAGTCTTATTTTTCTCTCTTTTTGTGAATTGCATTTTGTCAAAGTGAGTTAGGATGTGTCATTAAAACTGGGCAGCTAAACCTAATCTGTGAGTTGACAGTAGGATATCACTACATTGTCCCATATCCAAACAAGCTGCAGCAGAATGGGCTCTGTACTGTCTGAATGGGGATTGTCCTCTGTCTCTTTCTGATCACAATGTGCCATTGTATTGGACAGAACTCATATATGGGACACTCCTCTGCATCCTCACTGGGAATCAGTGATGGGCAGACTGGCACAGGAAGAGGACCCGGAGGATCCCCATGCAGGATTTACAAATGATCTTTAAAACTCTGGAAAACTCTGAATGAATTTTGGTTGGATTATGAGGCCTTTGGTGGATTTGTGGATGAGGAAGATGGTTTGTTGTTTACATGAGTCCACATTTTAAGGTATGGACTGCATTTTTCTGTTAATAAGGATGCCACACCAACAGCCAAACATTTTTCTTATTTAGGATATTTTTTGGAGCAAGATTTGCTGAAGTGGGGACAACTATCCAAAGAAGAATTGGAGGAGACTCTGCAGGAATTTAACGCAAAAGGCCTCTTATAATGAAGCTCTGTATTCCAACCTAAAGCGCCTTCCCACTGACTTTCCTTACAGTGCTTCATTCATAGAGAGCTGCATTGTTTCATAGCTGGAAGGTGTGAAGGTTGGATATAAAGCAGGTGATCTTGGCGGTGAGGGTCTGCGCTGCATTGTATGGGATTGTATGGGCACAGCAGGTCAGAATCAAGATAGACCCTGTCAAGACTCAGACACCATTCTATGCAGCGGTCCCCTTCACCTCCACCTTTACCCCGACCTTTTTGTTTGAACAGTAGACCGAGGCCCCTGGTGTGCTAGCTGGGTGCTAGCCTCCACACTCCCAGAGTAAACAGCGCCCTGCCCGGCCGGCCCTACGTCAGGCCAGCTGAGAGGATTACATACCCCCTGGTGTAGACAGGCTTAATGTGGCCTCATTAGCTGAACACAATAATGCCCCCACCTCTGAGCAGAGATAAGAGGCCGGGCTCGGCCAGACTTCAAACAGGGCTCGAATCTTACAGAACCTCAGAGGAGCAGTGTGACATTTGGATTTCTGCAAAATCCATATCACATCATTTTAGGGCTGAAATAGTCAGTTGAAGAGTTTTGACATTTCAAAAACATTCATGGGAATAATCAAGCAAAATAAAAAGGCAAATATTAACTTCTTCAAGCGTCTCAGTGGGATAGTTTGATGCTTTTTCCTGTTGTGTATCATTGTATTTCTAATATTGAATCCTCATGCAAAAAATATTAGATTGTATGTATTGTTCTTCTGTCTTCATACTCATCTTTGACTGAAATGTTATGAAAAAAGACAGATAATGAAAAAGGAAAAATAGAAATCAATAAACTTCAAATTAACTTTCAGAATGTAATTTGTTGTTGTCATTATCTGCTGTTTGTTTATTGTGTGAAGAATTTGTGCTGCATTTTTGCCCAGATTCCTTTGTATTTTTCCAGGTAAAATTGAGGTTTAATACATTTGATTAATACAAAAAATAGAGAAGGAAATAAAAACGTGCAACATATGACAATGAAGATGTGAAATTGGTGCCTTAAAAGCTGAGAAAAGTTAAAATTAAACATCAGAAGTAAAGATATTTTGCTCAAAAGATGTGTCACGCTCCTTCAACAAGTAAGTCTATGGCTGGTATTTCACATTGAATGTGTATTGAGCATCTCAGAAAACCAGAACTATAGCAGGCATTCATTTTTACTAAATATGTTTAACACTTAAAAGTATTTAATTTCAAAGCTGACTGACTGTCAATTTAAAAAAAACAGTCCTTGTTTGACGTCCTGCATGTCTACATTTTTGTGTAAAAGCAATTGAATGAAAAAGATTAATTGATTTATTGAATCTTTGGTCTGCCTCTTTTTTTCCTTTCATTGTTGTCACTCTGCTTTCTAATTGTGTTTTTTCTGTCTGAGACTGGCTAATGAGGCAGAGCTTCACTCATGCTGGAAAATAGCGCTATTCTTTGTAAATTAGGAATTGTATTCCACTGCTAAGAGTCTTATCTGAGGACCAGAGTACGTTTCTCTAATTCTTTTACTGTCTGTAATGTTGGATTTTTTTCCAATAGAAGTTTATTGTCACACCTTAATTTTTTGTTTTTACTGGACAGAAATTTGTCTTTACTTCCACTTCAGTGTGAATGTATCACCGATTAGCCTATTTGATCCACGAGTCTGTCCTCAGCAGACAGGGGGACAGAGAGAGGCCTGCTGTAATTAGCCCTCATTATTAACTGGAACTAGACTGAGACCTGTGAGACACCATGATATCTGTGTCTGTCTGAAACGGCTCACTCAAAGCAGCAGATAACCAAAACAATCTGGGCTTGCAGCTCCAGCAGCACTGCTTGGATGTTTAATTAAATAGTGTGAACTGGTTAGACTCAGACATTAGATTATATGAAGCAGAGACCCGCTTGACCAAAACAGACTAACAAATCGTTTTAGCCGAGATTAATGATTTGTTTTGGGTGAGAGAATACTTGATTTGATTCCTTTTTCCTAAACTTTTGTGCGAGCACATGATCACAAAGCAGAGCGACGCACTGCTGGCTTTCTTTTTGCTCGTCTGAGACCTGATACAAATTCAAAAGGATCTGCTGCTTTGAAGATAAGCTCTGTAGTTCTGCCATAAACAATGATTGTGCTCTTTCTTTCCTGTGGCGTGATTTATTTAAAGTATTATGCAGTAAGGATTTGGGCTGGTTTTCCTGACAGGGGACGGCTGTGTATGTATCCCCTGCTTGTGTAGTTTATTGGATACTTGAGAATCAGGAAAACACTCAGGGAGCCACCAGAAAAGTCATCAAAGTGTGACCTTTGCCTCCAGGGGGTTATGCTGTTTACAAAAACTGTCAGATTTAGCCCTGAAAATGTAGATTTTCGAAATGAAAAGCAAAAAAAAGACAGAATTTATTCTAACTTTTGCTCAAACTTTTAAGTATTTTTACATCTGTTTTTGTATTCTTGCATAATTTTGAGGCCAGTCTGCCAGTAACCAGCATGGCAGAGTGGACTTTGTGTAGAAACACAATGCTTGCAGTCTTGCACACACACACAAACATATGCTTCCTTTGATAAAGTGTTTTTATACCAGCAGAATTCTAAGGCAGGCTCCCTTAAGACAATATCTGCGTAAAATACCAAAGTTATTTATAGCCAGGGTGCAATTTTGACTTCAAAAAATAAACACGAGCGTAATGGAGAGTTCAAATACGAGGGGACCATTATCAAGAGCAAACACACCCGAGTGTATTCTGGTGCAGGGAGGGTGTAAAGTGCCATAATGTGTTGATTGGAATATCTAAAAATCTTAATGAGGTCCTGAATTAAAAAAATCTGGCTTTTACTGCAGCACTATGAGCCACAAATAAAACACTGAAGTTTGTAAAGTGAGGGGAAACTGTTAATTTAGAGATAGTGGATGAAATCTTTTGATAACAGGTACAGAAAACAGTATTTTTTGTTTTAACTGGACAAAGCTGTCTGTTTGTCTGTGATTGTGCTCCAACAGGAGGAGGACGTGTGTGTGTGTGTGTATGTGTGTGTGGAGGGGGGGTCTTTTGAACGTCCACACCAGGATACAGCTGCCTATGACTAATTTCAAACTCCCCTTCTAGGGCCGAAGCAACCCATTTCACAAGTAACACACATCACCAGGCATCTGTTTCCTGTTTTCATTCTTTGAGTTATCTTATTTTCCTTATTTCCCCCTCACCTGTTACAGTTCACGTTCCTTCCATCCCGCCGCACGGGCCGGCTGTGCTTGGACACGAGGCCGTCAACGCCGCACACTCGAAAACAAAAAAGAAACAATTATGAAACAGTTCAAGTTGTGGTAAAAATCAGATCATTCATTAATGAACTTACACTTTGAAAATAAGGACAGAACTTCACTCTGTATATTTGGAAATCAAGTTTCAGTTAATTTTAATGAATAATCTTCATTCACAGACACAGGGTGATGTTTTCTCATATTTTTAATATAAAATGGAAACACGATTCAACATCAAACTCTAATTTCTCCTGACTTCCGCCACCATATTGTACATAGAGATTTATCTGACTTCTCCTCACACATAGGAGTTGTAATATTTTACAAGTTTCTCATCAGTAGGTTTCAGGATCTTCTTCTCTGCCATGTTAACGACCCAGCCCGGAGAGAGGCCAAAGAAGATCTGTCGGGCGTCCTTCCTCATAGCCAGCATGTGATAGAGTTCGTCCTTTGAAATATCTGGTAAAACATATCCGTACTTCTGTGCCAGGGCGAGCCGGGCCTGCTGGATTTTCTCTGGGTCTGCTAAGTAGCCTCTGTTCTCTGCTCCTGTGTAGTAAGGGACCATGTCCTCCCCTGGTAACATTCGCTTTGGGATGGGCTGTCCTCGCACGAAGAACGGCACAGGCTTAATAAGAATCCCTAAAAAAATGACAGAGAAGGGTAATATTTTTTAGTCTCAAAATAAACACTAATAGGATGAACCATTTGCTGTGGATCATTGGTTTCTTATACCGAGACTTATGGGATCATAGAAACTTGTAGTGATGACCCCTCCATTCTTCTCAATAGCAGCTATGGCTTCTTCTGACGCTCTCTGAACCTCTATGTTGATTTTGGCAGCAAAAATGTCAGCACCCTGAAACAGAAAACACATGAAAAGGTGAAAGACTGGCAACAGAGGCAACGTCCAAGTCTGTGACAGAATGATAACTTTGTGATGTGCTGCCACCTACTGGTAGAAGATGATAAAACAAAGTTACTGAGTGAATGTAAAGGACATTGACAAAAAATGTAAGGTCAGATGGATTGTTTCTGTGTGGACTTCAGAAATATAACAAACAAAGGTTAAAAACACACCCCACGCTGGAAATTCAGACCCCCTGAATGTTGGTTCTCTAAGCAGAGGTCATCTCTAGTATAAATCACAGAATAGACTCTGTAACATTCATTTACATCTGCATATCAGGACCAGAAGAAACCGGAAGTTTTGTGGTAGAATATTGAGACTCCAGAAAACAAAGATTTTAACCTTTGAAGATGAGAGAGCTTTAAATCACTTTCAAGGACTGAGGCTGAGTCCATCTTAAACAATAAGCTTTAAGTAGGTGACAAGTACCTCATCAACCAGCTGGACCCCAAAGTCCCTCTTCAAAGGCTGGACTGTCACTCCTCTGGCGTTGACCAGCTGAGTCAGGTCTATAGGCTGTGTGGGATCAACTCGTCCCAGATCAATCAGGTACTGCAGTCGTTTCAGTGACAGAGGCTGGTACTGAGGACGGCGACTGAGGGGAGAACAAACATTTGAGATCCTGAGGATGGTGGGCTTGGTATCAACTGAATATACGACACTGGAATCATTTCACTGACAAATACCAAACTAGGGCTGAGCGACAAAAAGATAATGACATATATCAAAAAATAACTTCAATATACTGGTCAATATACTTTTCGATAGCCGGCATGCTGCCATGTTTTGGTAGATGATATGAATAGCCAATGAAAAGGGAAGTTGCTCCAGGTCACACTGAACCGATTGTGCTGAATTAGAACCAAGTAGCAAACAACTGCTTAGTAGCAGGCTGTGGCTACACGCAACCACAGCACTTTAACACGTGAAGCCGACAGCACTGTTGGTGAGGAAAAAAAGAAAATGAGAGCAGAAGTGCAGATGAAGGCTCAACAGGTGACGACATCGTCGACAACACTGGCACGAAAACGTCGGTGGTGTGGAGGCATTTTGGTTTTTTGAGGTTGGACATGAAGCAGAGTAAAGTGCGAAGGAAATTGAGTCGAGTACATGTTCTTTACAAAGTCAGGGAATACCTCAAATCTTTTTCACCGCCTGAAGCAGTGTCGCGCGGCAGAGCACACGCAATGAAAACAGTTACAAACCTTGAGCAGAGCAAGGAGCCCATGGCGCCTGTGCAGCCTATATACAGTCTATGGCAACACCTTACGACAAAATGTCTAAGAGACACGTAAACCTCACAGATGCAGTCGCTTATTATATTGCCAAAGACATGATACCAGTAAACACTGTTAAACTTTATTCTTTATATCGTGATATATATCAATATCATGTGATATGAAAAAGATATATGGTGATAAACTTTTTCCCATATCGCCCAGCCCTATATCAAACTATACATTTCAGAAGCGAAAAACCTGTAGTTTTACTTAATAGTTTTGAGAACAGAGTGACAAGTCTTTACCTATGTCCCTCATTGTAGCCGTATTTTGGGACAATTAGGTAAAAGGGTGTCTGACCCCCCTCAAACCCAAGCCGAGGTCTGTTCCCTCTCTGCCGCTCTCCTTTGTGCCCTCTGCCGCTCCTGTTTCCGCCATGTTGTCCTCTACCCCGCTTCTTTTCCTATAATCAAACAAGCATTAGTCTTTTGGGTTGCAGGAATCTTCACAACACCTGTCAACAAGCCAGTTAGCATCAGCCTCAACGTGCTAACACAGCAGGCTAACTAGCAACGCCAGCTAAGATGTGCCGCTATTGCTTACAGATAGAGTAAAGAAAAAATAACTTACCCGCCTAAAAGATCCCGGTTCAGGCCGCAAGTTTGCTAAACTTATTCGCGGCAGATTCTGCAAAGCGTCTAACCCTTTACCACCGGGTTTTTTAGGGAAAGACATGTTTCTGCAGCTCACATGTCAAAGTACCTACACCAAGGACATGTAGGTCACATGACCGCGTTCAGAGGAAGTGTCTATTATCGGCATGAGGGCTTTTCAAAATAAAAGCAGCTGATAAATTAGCTGTTTAATATTTTTCGTCAGATTCCGCGATTTAACATGAAAATTTATAGTACATGTATCACAAAGACTTGATATATATACAGTTACTAACTGAAACTCCAACTGGTAACTTGAGCATAAAAAACAATTCTGTCACCAGGAATCTATGACAAAGGTCATCAGGGACAAAATGATTTATTTATAAATCTAATATGTCTATTCATGTTTGATACATGCACTTTCATATTTTTGAGTAGCTGAAATAGGCTTTTTATTCTATTTTATTTATTTATTTTATATTTATATTTTAATATATATTTTTATTATTTTTGTATTTTGTATGTATCAGATTAGTAGCTGAAAAAGCTTTCTTTTAATTTATTTTTTAAATTTATTTATTTTTCATTATATATATATATTTATTTTTAATTTTTTTATTTTTTCCTAGAATAGTTGCTGAAATACTCATTTTTATTTTATTCTATTTTTATTTATTTATTTATTTATATATATATATGTGTGTGTGTATGTATATCTATATATATATATATAAATAGTTTGTTTTTTATTTTATTTTTCTCTGACTTTTAGCTGAAATATCCTTTTTTATCTTTTATTTTATTTTTTATTTCATTTTTTATGTTTTTATTTTTCTCAGACAAGTAGTTGAATTAAGCTCTACATGCAACTACAGTTGAGGATTTGTCCGTTATTAAACACAATTAATTGACATTTCAATGTACCAATCGTCGCGTTGTATTTCCAGAAGCTCTATGCTGACAGCCAATCAGGTGCCAGAGGAGGCGGGACTAAGGTGGATATCTGTTCCACAAACGACGAGCCGTACTAGTGTGGTTGTGTGATCCGTTCATTTTTTTCAGACAATTTGAACTTCACAAGACATATCAACGACTGTCAGTAGTGATACGCAACAGCGGTACCTCAGCGCTCACCGTCGGTTGTCCTTCGTCCTTCAACTTTAAAAACTAAAAGCCATAATCGGACTAAGATTAGCAGCTGGAGGTGTCGTTATTAGCCAAGTGTAGCTAACGTGTTCCTACATATCAGCTGCCTCAGCGCTGTATGTGCGGCAACAACATGTCAGCGCCTTTACCTGCCATCGTGCCTGCAGCTCGGAAAGCTACTGCAGCGGTGAGTTTGACTCTAAGACTATGCGGCCGGTTTAATTTAGATCGAATTAACTGCGCACACAACAGTGTCCCACTTCTGATCCGTGCAGCCTGCAGGACTCGAAGTGAGCATTAGAAGTAAAGTTTGAGCAAATGCAAGTCAAATAAAGAGGTCTGCAGTGTTTTTTTTTTTCAGTTCTCAGGTCTAGTTGGAAACAGTAGCTGCTGTCTTTAGTTTATCGTGTAAAGTCTGGAGTTTACAATTGTCAGTATGCATGGTTCAGGAGCTGCAACCTCTAAAGCTCTGTCCAGGAGTGTATCCAAAAGGTTAGCAAGGGGTTGCACGCCCCCCTTACCCCACCCCACTCCTTGAACTTTGATTACCCCCCTCCAGGTGCTATGCAAAATCTTGCATAGTTTCAACAATCTGAACTGAAACTCTGATCCTCTCATCAGACTTCTTTAATTTTTCAGTTGAGCTACTGGCTCAATTTACCCCTGAACTACTATGATGACTTTATTATTCCTCTAAGCTAAAACGGTGGACTTTTATGCTTTATGGTTTTTGACCTCGTGTTGTAGCTCATAGATGCCACAATTGTGTAAAGTGAAAAATGGGTTTTTTTGTAGATAAATGTCTAACCCCTTCACCCATGTGCTTCTAATCTTCACAGACTCCATGAATTGATGCCCATCTCCCAAATATTTGGTCACATGATCAATTTCTTTTACCATTTTCAAGCAACGGGGGGTGTCTCAACTTACCCTATGGCTCAATTTACCCCACCCTCCCCTACTTCCACAAAATGCTTTCACTGGGGAGCTGTCGTGTAGCATAGCCAGGCAGAGAGTCAGGAGTGGCAGGTGTGTGTTAGTAAAGCTGAAGGACTGAGTGAGCAGGGGGATAAAGTTATTTGAAAAGCAACTAAGTAGTAGAGAATGAAAAACAGACAAGTTTAAGCAAACAGAACAAGTGAGAGGATGTTTCATCATTTTTCTCTTCCTCATTTTCATTTAGTTTTTGTTTTTCAGTCTTCAGGATGTTGAAGTTTGAGCAATTTCCTTAGCAATGAAGAAAAACAGATCCTGTTAAATGACCAAGGGGAGCAGATATAGAGCAAACAGTAGCGGCCTAAGGACAGAACTCTGAGGAACACCACAAGACAACTGCTTTTTTTTGTGTTTGTTGTTTTTACAGGTGATATTTCTGCATGGCCTGGGGGATACAGGGTAGGAAAAGACACCCTTCTTCTTTCATTTAGTACAAACTTTATTGTCTCTCTCTGATGGAAAAAAAAAAATTGTCCGTCTACACAGGCATGGCTGGGCAGAAGCTTTTGCAGGCATCAGGATACCACATGTGAAGTATATCTGTCCTCATGCGTGAGTATTCACTGCAACTGTAGCAAAATGCTGTGTTGTATTTGCTGCAAAAGTCGAAGATATGCTTAAAAACACCAAATGTTAAGACCCTTGTCTTTTTTTTCACTTGGATTGGCATACGTAGGTGTCAGATATTTCATTTACACTCACTGAAACAGTTTTTTTCTTTTTTTTTTTAATATCATTTCAGTCCGACCATGCCTGTTTCCTTGAACATGAGAATGTCCATGCCTTCCTGGTAAGTATTGCACAATATGAACATATTTAGATGTACAGTGTGGGCGTCTTATTCCCCGTGAGCCTGATTTTTTCCCTCACTATGTATAGGTTTGATATCTATGGGCTGAACCCAGATGCAGAGGAAGATGAGAGTGGAATTAAAAGAGCATCAGAAAACAGTCAGTTACTGTGATCAGTGTAAAACTGCATTAATGTTTGGGAATATTTCTATTTGATTTAAAATGAGCCTCTTTTAACTTGACATGTTCCATTTCTCTCCAGTTAAAGCCTTGATAGACCAAGAAGTGAAGAATGGAATACCTTCACACAGAATTATTCTGGGTGGATTCTCACAAGTAAGTGTGGCATGCACACAGATGATACATTATGTAACCCTGTTTTTACGGTGATTCATTGCTCATGTGCATAATGTTTGTTAATGACCAGATCTAAAATGCATGCACACAAGTGTTCAACTAAATGAACTAAAGGTAAATGTTCCAGCGCAGATGGGTTTTGATTTTTTTGAAAAGCTCAGAGAAAATCTCAAAATTTGAAGAGATAAGAAGTTAAATCAGTCAAAACAGAGTTCATAAAACAATTCTATTTGAACAACTAACAATTTAACTGTATCACTTTGGATCACAGAAGTATTGGCACACTATTCAGAGTTTGCAAAAAAAAAAGGAAAGGACTTACTAACAGAAACCAAAGTGTGAAAACAAAAATCATCTTGGTGATGGTGAGTAATGTGTAGGGCTATTTCTTGGCTCTTAGCAGTTGCCAGGCAACCAGCAAAGACTACAGGAAGTTAGTTATCGTGCCAGGCCAACAAATAGTCAGTGAGGCACAAAACACCCAGAGCTATTCCTTTCAGTATAGATCAAAAGGTCAATACTTATATTTATAGATTTCAAAACCAACTGATCAGATGTCAGAATTTTTGCGCAGTTGTGTGTCTAAAGCATCACACACAGACACACACACACACACACACACACAGATATTTAAAACATCTCCTCTGACTCTTTTATTCTTTTTCTCTATTGAACAAAGGAACAAAAGATTGGTGTCAAGGTTTTTTTGTATCTGCTTTGTCCTTTTTTGCAGGGAGGCGCTTTGTCTCTCTACACCGCTCTGACAACTCAGCAGAAGCTGGCTGGAGTGGTCGCTCTGAGCTGTTGGCTCCCTCTACGTAACTCCTTTCCCCAGGTAACAAGAACCACCTCTGTGGAGATTCCCAAAAAATCACTTAAAATTCCCCCTTTTTTAATTTTAGTATTGTTCATACGTTTGTACAACAGCTTAGGGACATCACGATAAAACCTGTCCAGCGTGTGGCCCATCTAGTGATACAGTTTTCATTCTCACATCCATCTCCTTTGGGTCGTTTCCAAACAAGTTAAAGACTGCACTGCATGTGTGAAAAAAGGGCTGTAATCTGTCATAATCAGATAACTAGAATAATCCTAATCTCCTCTATTCTCAGGCGTCTGCCAACAGTGCAAACAAGGACATGCACCTCCTCCAGTGCCACGGGGATTCCGACCCCTTGGTTCCCTTTGTTTTCGGCAGCCAGACAGCAGAGAAGATGAAGACCCTTATCAATCCAGCCAACATCTCCTTCAAGTCCTACCGGGGTCTACCTCACAGCGCCTGTCCAGAGGTCAGTCTTGGAAAGATCCTGTTTTATATGACCGGTCTGGTTCTGTTTTATAAATGTAGTTTCTGTATGTCTATGCAGGAAATGGTGGATGTCAAACGATTCATAGAGAAGCAGCTTCCTCCAATCAGTGACGAGTGAAATCAAGAGCCGCCGCACAATCACACAGCTTCATCTGAGTCTTTCGGGACTTGATGGTCTCGAGGAATCAGTGACTTAACTTGACATTTAAACCACGCTGCTACCCATGGAGCCGGACAGGACTGCGGCTACTAGTCAGCTCGGGAGGGGCCTGACTAAAATGATGCTGCATCCTGACCTGGATCCACTCACAGTCCTCAGTGTTACAGTAGAGTAACTCTAGTTGCTTGATTGTAAGGCTGTTTGCTATTAAGTCGAGCCATTTCTTGCAGGAAATGTATGTACTGGAATAATTAGGGCTATACTTTATCATTTTAATACCTGCCATCTCACAATAAATGGCCTGTTAATTTTTTTTCTATTGAAGTCTCTGCATAATTGTCCTTAAACAAGTTCAATAGTTGATTAATGTGCTTATTTAGTTTGGGCCAAATGCCAAAAAGGGAAAACTTGTTGCTCTGAGCGTTAGATTTAATTCTCTTGTCAGTTGAAATGGATGTCTGGAGGTTTTGGAATAGTATCATCCATGTGATGGACACTTTTATATTTTTAAACATGTTGAGATCGACTGTCTTAGGCAACAAATTTAGCTGTCGGTGAAACAAATGATCAGTATTTTTAATAGTGTTGGACTCAAATGCTGGTTATGTGTCCAAAATGCAGTGCAGCCTCCTGCCACAAGCTGGGGCTGTAGCTCAGATGACAAATGTCACCACGCTAGGCTGTGGCTAACTGGACTGGAACAATGCTTAACAAGCACAGACGTATTAGAATTTTGTGACATTAGCAGAACAGACTTGATAGAAACTGAATGTTTAAATAAAATAATAATACCCGAAGAAGTCAACTTAGATCTATTCCTGTACATTTACACACGGGGAGTCCCTCATCCACATTAACCACCAGCTTGTGCCACCATGTTTCAAACTAGTAAATGTGTGTTTGTTTTGAGTGAGTGGGACGAGAGGATTTGTGTGAATAGAAGTCTTTGATTGTAAAAATGTGGCGAAGGAAAGATCATGCTTTACAGCGGCCATAGCTTCACTGAGAGGTGTGAGCATGGGAGCGTTTTTAACCTAGAATCAAACTGTTGGAAAGCATTTCTATTTCAACACATAGCACCAAAGGAGGGCCTATGTTTTGTTGTTCTAGCTCTACTAGTGGTAGCCTCACTGCAGACTAATTTGTCAGCATTTATGCACAGACTGAGATCCCGTGTTGATTTGTGCACAGTTTGAGCTGCTTTTCAAGTTTATTTCTTATCTCCAGACTAATCAAAAGTTGTCCAAAGTTTCCCTTTGCAAAACTATGAGATCAGTCGCTTGAGAACAGCTCTGTTATACGCTAAATAATTAGTTAAACAATCAACCCTTACCTGTGACAGCTCTTGTATGTATAAAGCATAACTCCTAACTTTCTCTTCATGCAACACTTAAAGGAATATTTCTCATAATGTACGATATAGAATAATGTTTCTTTTGTAAGTTTTGCAAACAACACGATAGCAAAAACAACATATGATTGTGCTTTATTAGATTTGTGAGAATTCAAATAGCTATTTCACACAAACTCCTTTTTAAATACACAAATATATCAGTGGTCATGGTCATGTATTCAGTATTCTTTTCTTCCCTGTTTGGTTAAAATTAAATATATTATGACTAAAATCACAGTATTGAAACACACAGACAAGATCTATTCCTGGGAATCAGCTCGTTGAGTTGTAAAAATGTTTTCTTTGAGAAGAGCTGAAAGCACCAACATATGAAGTTGTTGTCGCACCGTCACCGTCTTTGTTAGAGCAAAGGTGCGAGTGTAGAAGATCTTATTCCAAGGCACTTTCCTTCTTCTTAAGTTACAGATAAATAAAACCTACTAGTTTCTACAAGAACTGGATATGCATTAAGGCTCACAACATACCTAAATACAAATGCAGTGCTCACAGATACATGCTTTCTCTCATTAGACAAGGTAGAAAAGTGCAATGTCAAGCGCTTGGGAATATATAAAAATATAGATATGTTTTCTGAACAAGCAACTGGTGCTGGATATAGCATTTGTTCTTGTTTGCTCCAAGTATTTTGGTAAGCTAATCATGGGTAAATAAACTGCAGTTACAGCTGGATTAAGACCGGTTTGAAGAAGTGTTCATTTTCCCGTCTGTCTGTCTGTCTTAAAATAGCACGACTCCAACAGGAAAACACACAGAAAACGCCGTCGGGTGGGACGCATGCGCCAAATTTGAAAAGCTAAAGTGTGTGGCAGTGGACAGTCTATGGCTCAGGGGGAGGCTCTTCCAGGCTCTTCAGCAGATCTGTGTACGCAGTGGAGTTTATGAAGCGGGGGTACGAGTCTCTCTGCATCAGGGTGTAGATCTGCTGCTGAGCGTCGTCAAACGTGCACGAGGTCGGCTCCAGCATGTTGCGGTTTATCACTTCTCGAACACGGGAATCCAAACTGACCTGGAGAAGATGAGCAGATAGGAGACCAGAGCTGTGTCACATGTAAACAGGCAGAAGATAAAGTAGAGAAACAGCTACTGTGGGGAGAAAGACTGTGAGGTTTAAGAATCTGCAGGACCTAGAAAAGACCTTGAGGTCTCCACCCTCAAAATAACAATGCAGAAACACAACAAAGCACAACTTGAAGCCAATATAATAATGATTATTTGTGAGCCCTCGCTCTATCTGCTCTGTCAGACAGGTCTCCTCTCTTCCCATCGAATGGGGCAGTCTTAAGCCCAGATGAGACCTTTTCATAAACATCCAAGGAGGCCACTGCTGGTGTGACACCATGGACTACTAAGATCTGGATAACATGGATCACCAGTGTAGATCAGTGGTTGAATCTCCCATGTATAGAGGGTACATTACTCAAAGACTGGTTCCAGTTGGGCTCTCAGTGAAGGCATGACAAAGGAAAGAAAAATGGACAACAGGACAGCTCTCACAAAAGTGAAGCCAAAAGGTTGGATCTCACTTTCTGATGGGCTGCAGTACAGGTTCTCCATGTTGACAGATGGGACATGGTCAAACTATAAAACTAAAATATACCAAAGATAAATCATTTCCCAAACATAGTTCTGTTATTTTAGCTGATTCTGAATTAGGTGTTTAAAGCTGATAGTCAAAAAAGACGAATAAATAATGATGCATCTTTACGACCAACAAAAGCAAAAGAAAAGATCTAGATCAGAAACATGTCTGATTATTACAAAGATGAAGCTCTGGGGTTATCTTTGAGTTTGTGCCAAGGGTTAGAGAGCTCAAAAATTGTACAAGCTTTTATAATGTCATGCTTTGCTTTCTCACCTCTTTAGGGGAAAGAATCGAGATGAAGTCTTCGTATATCTGACGCACTTTCTCCTCCACCACAGTCTTGTTGGTCTCCTTCTTGAGATCCTCGCAGGCGAGCCAAAACATCATGTTCTCCTCGCTAAACTCCGTCCGCAGGAACTGCCTGAAGCAGCTTCGACCCGCTGCACTCTTCATCACCTTTTCGAATGACGTTGACCAGGAGCGAGCGTCTTCCAGAGAAGGCTTCGGGCTGAAAGATAACAGATAGGTTGATGTATTGCTCTCTTGTTCTTTATGTAGCTGACGTTGAAATGTTTCTCATGTGAAGCTGGTACCTTTCTTCACAGTTTGTGGTTCCTTCTGTTTTGCGCTCAAAAGTCGATCTCTGAACCGTCTCATCCTCACCCCGAACAGTCAAACTGGAAAAAAAAAAGAAAATCTATGAATAGCTCATCATGCAGCTCCGATCAGGATCCATTTAAAATAACTCCAGAGTCTTTTCCTAAATTAGCCCTCTTAACTTGAGATAATGTGGTTCATGTAAGTGAGAAGCATCTGCCTGTCATCAAAACAAACAGCTTCCACTTTTCTCTTCAGGCTCAGTATTTCAGAGGCTGCCTGCCTCAGCTCATTGGTCTGATAGTTATTGATAAGATATGTTGAATCTGGTGAGGTCAAACATATCTCTTTGGTTATTGTTCAGATGAAACAAGACCGGGAGCTCATCTTTCATAATCGCGCTGGTCTTAATTTGTTGACAGTGGTGCCTTAAAAAGAAGGCAGGGCAAACCACCCCTGATATATCTATAATACACTGTATATCGGAATATTTCCTCAAAGCTTGACCCCAAAGCTGTACTCTTATCTATTTCATAAAGAGAGACCCAGCTTTAAACTACCTATTAAAGGGATATTCCGGCGTAAAATTAATTTAGGGTCATACACACCATAACACAGAGTTAGACACCCCCTGGAGAGATGAATGTTGATCATCTATGATAATTTCTGCAGGATAGCAATACACGGCGGTCTGAGGAGCCATAAACAAACCTCAACTAAAACGCCACTCTCTAGCCACAAATAATGCTCAGAACAGCACCTAACTTCATCAACAGTACATATAGGGTCCCAGCCATAGTACTAGCCACCAAACATCCGGGGTGACGCAGCTCAAGGAAGAACGTTTATGATCATTTCTTCATGGAAATGCAATCAGACTCAGACGCTAAGGCAGAAGAACTACCACGTCTGCAGTTCAAAACGATTAATATGGTGATTATTACTTCAAGGAAATGATAAAGTAATGATGATAAATGTTCTTCCTTGAGCTGCGTCACCCCGCTGTAGTCTGTAATGGACTGGCCTGAGGTCTCGCTACAAACAAGGGGCTGCTGGAAGAGAGTAGGTGAGCTGTGTTTAGTCTCTTTGCTTAAGAATCAGGCAAAGCTAAAAAGATGTTTGGTGGCTAGGACCCTATATGTACTGTTGATGAAGTTAGGTGCTGTTCTGAGCATTATTTGTGGCTATAGAGTGGCGTTTTGGTTGAGGTTTATTTATGGCTCCTCAGACCGCTGTGTATTGCTATCGTGCGGTCGTTACTAAAGTTGGCAAAACTAGAGAAGCAAGTGGTAGGCAACATTCATCTCTCGAAGGGGTGTCTAACTCTGTGTTATGGTGTGTTTGACCCTAAATTAATTTTACGCCAGAATATCCCTTTAACAAGTGCTTGGCAACAGTGGCAAGAAAAACTTTTTTTGTCTGTCTGTTTGGCCACAGATTCAACTCTATGTTTTACATTGCAGGACAAATTTGAGGGTAAAATTGGCTCTTAGTGGTTCATTGACAGGGCATTTCCATTTCCTCAAATTTCATCTGTAAACCATTTGGCAAACTACAAGAAAAAGCCATGAACCTCAGTGTAATGTTTATCCCAGGGTTTTTTAAGGCCTGTTTTAATGTACTTAAGGCACTGTTTGTTCTCGGTTCAAATAACACAACACTGGATTCGGAGAATCTACTGGGATTGTTGGGAACATTTGGATAAATAGATAATTATATCAACCGGCCGCCGCATCCTGTGGGGATTCCCTGTGTGTAATTAAAAAGCCAATGTAGCAGCTGGCTGGAGATTAATTGGTTCAGGTGAGTCCAACGTGAGCGATCCCACATGGGAGCTAGCCTGTCGTAGCTGTGCAACAAATAGATGAAATGACAATAGATGTGGAGACAAAGTGTATTACTCATCCCCAGCGGACTGAATTAACATGGCCAGGCTCTGCACACAACAGGTCGGTGGATCTCAGAGGAAGCCGAAGTAAACGGCGTTTGATTCCAAAACAGATTAAAACCTCCTGAGGCCTCCGACCAATGAGATCCAGCGTAGGTCACGGGGCCGCAGCGTTTCTGTTTTTCTAGGCTGTAAGCGTGGGCTGTGGTGTTGTTGAACATGTAGGAGGATGGAGGTAGAATTTAAGTTGTATTCACGACTGAGCTGCTACAGTAGAATGAGACTCAGAGTAGTATCTTCAGATTTAAAATGATACAGATCACTGCAACGTTCCTCAACATTTCGAGAATCAAAACAAGGAAAAAGAGCCTAATTATCCCTTTGGTGACTAATCTGAGCAGCAGAAATGTTGGTTTGTAAAACTCCTCCAGTTTCGAGTTTTTAAACGTGTGACCTGTTCTGCAGAATCTTTAGTAAGGTAATAATCCCATCAAAAAGTGCAGTCTCTTCTTGAAACATTACAGTATCAACATTTTCCAAAGCATGACCTCCAGACTCTATCATGCCACACCCACCAACCTGCTGTCACATACAGCATCTATATATTTTAAAGTATGCTCTAACCATGATAAAAATAAACAACCTTTGTATGGAAGGCACTTCTACAACAACAACTAAGATGGCTGCTGCTCTGCTAGGTTGTATTTCATCAAAAACAGACATTAACTGCTGGCTGTGAAATCAAGTCACAGCTCCATCACTCATTTGTCAGTCTAATCGCACAATGGTCTTGACATGCCAGTCTACACAAGACAATATGTGATATATTTTTGCTGATTGATGCCAAAACACTACATAATTATTTCAGTTTTTGTTTAAAATTCAAATGGCTTTTGTTGTTAATGTCTTATGGATGGGAATTGAAAACTGGTTCCAAGTAAGAGCCACTAATTCAACCCATCTACATCATCTACCTCTTTACTTAATGGGTCTCATATCAATGCCTTCCACTTAGTTTTGTGCGTCTTGAAAAACAATGATGGGATGCACGGCATGAGGCAGTCAGCACAAACAAGTCCAAGGAGTCAAATCATGATGGACAGAAGTCAGGAACCATGATATTGTTGTGTTTTCAATATCAGCTTAACCCTAAAACACTATGGCCAGGTGATTTTCACCCAATCAAACATGTTTATGTGATTTTCATCATGTTGCGTTTGTCTGAGTATCATGTGTCCCTGGGTAGCTTCAGCATTGCCTTTGACATCTTTGAAGGCATATTTGTTTCTCTGATCCAAAACCTGCTTTTTCCTACAGGCACGTGTTTGGGTGATTTTCACTCTGCAATAGTGATAGAGGGTAAGTTTAGATGAATTTGTTAGCTGCATGTCAGTAAGAGTGGTCCTGGAATTTGCATGCTATCTTTATTTAGCACAGTGGTTATGAATAACTATCACAAAGTAGTGATAAGAAATATTTTAGTCAGCTGGTCATTTTTACTTACTCTAAATCTGCCATATTTTGGTTCTCTCTCCTGCAGCTGTTATTGTGCCAAGGACCCTGAGTCTTCACCACAGAAGACTCACATACGTCAGGAATGGGTGGAAAAGAAACTAAGTTTACAGTCTAATTTCAGTTATTTTGTTGCATTTTTATATGGTCCCCTCATGGCATGTATCATGTATTATCCTATTTTTATATATTTTGATGACAAGTACTTTTTCTTGGGTATATTATTTCGGATAAAAATCACCCGGCAATAGTGATGGTGTTACTAATTTTAGTAGTCTAGGGTTAAAAACAGAACTGTACATGCAAACTCACAGTAAAATCCACTCCCACCGTGAGACTGGTCGCTTTCCAACAATAAACTCTGTGTGCATCTGTGACATCCAAGAACGTTTCTATCCCACGGATAAAAACCATTTCTGTTTCTAACTTACAATGCTACCTGATATGACTCTTTTAAACTCACCTTTAGTATGCTGATCTCCCTGTCTAATTAGTTAGCAAGCTGGAGTGTGTCCATTTACATAAATGCCATTGACAGCTCCTGATAACCATTTGTGGGTTGAGATTTTGCCACTGCGCTTTTAAACTCAGGAGGCAAAGGGGGGAAAAGTACAAATGAGAGATGGGTTTGAGCCTAAGTGTGTGGGAGATGTCAGGAAGATGACTGAAAGTCGGCCACAATCCCACCATTTCAACCCACATGTCTTCAGTAATCTGCCAGTAAATAGACCATTATCCCCCCCATGTCTCAGACCACACATCTCCTGTCTGCAGCCCGCTGTGTGGGAACCTGAGGAGTGTCATTACCAGGAGCAGCTACAGCAGCAGCACCAGCAGAAGCAGCAGGCGTTTGAGGCGTTGGTGGGGGTGTTTCCCATTCTGTGGCGCGCTTGGAGGACACTGGCAGCTGCTTCCTGGTGAACCTGCATCTGTCTTTTACGCATCTCCACCCGCTCTGAGCCCATGGACTTGAGGGGGAAGAGCAAGCAAGAGAAAAAGAGAAAAAGGGGGGAGGGTGGGTGTGTTTACTGGAAGATTATTACTGCATTAAGATGGAGAATCACACGCACAAACACATGCAGACTTACACACGCAATCCAAGAAAACACAGGAGATTAAAGATCTAGCGTGATGCATGATGGCCTGGAGGAGGAGGATGGATCAAGCCTAATCAATCAAACAAAACCACATGATCAGTTTGACTCTTTTGTTGATCAAATTTGCAATTTTTTTTTAAAACTCCTGAATATAAAGGTGGAGGAAAAAAAAACGTGCCTTGGGCAGTGCACAAGCACTTCACGATCTGTGTGGGTTCAACTTCTGTGCAATGCAACCACCAAATTTGGACTTCTCCCACCATTCATCGAGGCGTGTGGTGCGTTTGAGTGCAGATCTCGAGCTGCAAATGACAAACACCCGAGCAGTTTTAGGATCAATTTAACAAATATTAACAAATATATGTGATGAGCAACAACCGCTCTCCTCTGTCCTCCTCCTCCTCCCCCCTCTCTCTCTCTCTCTGTCTATGAAGGATGAGCGGTAATGATAGCGACAAGGCGTTACTCCAGGACTGCAGCGATCGCATCCATCAGTCGCATCCTCAGGAGGATACATACACACACATATGACGCTCGATTCAAGACAGGCAGTCATCCTGAAGAAAGCAGCATGCAGCCATTTATAGGAGCATTATCACATCATCTGATCAGAAAAGCTGGTATTTTGCAGCCGATTTTTTTCCTTTTCAAATCAACAAAGCTTCACACATGCGAATATCCACCTTATTTTATTTCTTTACAGATTTCTATCACTGTTTCTGCCTGCTGTATGAAGATGCTTCATGCAACAGCCTTTCTGTATCCTCATATTTCATCTTTTATTCGCCCAAAAAATGCACAAAAATTTAATAACATGCTAATTCTAACACTGTACAAAAGTCTAAGGTAAACGTGTACTCACTGTGTCACCATGAATGCCAGAATACAGGTGATTTCTTGGCTCGATCACATCCGTCTGCCTCGACTTGACACAAACCAGTTGGTGTCCTCTCTGCGCATGCGCCCTCCTGTAAGTGTGAAAAAGATTTTTCTGCGCTCGTGCCTTACCGGCCGGAACACAATGTGCGCTGTCTGTTTCTGCTGGTTTCTTAGGACACGGTGAAACTGTCCGACGATAACAGCCGATAAACACAGAATAAAATGAGTTAATCACGAAAACTTATTCTGAACTGGTCGGGGGTCAAATGCTGCTTAAATGTTAAATCAAAGTGTTTCTATATTAAGCTTTTAAATGAATGAAATTACACATGTACTGTAGGCTACACCTGTCTTCACAGCCAGTGAGGTTTCATTCATAAAAATGCACAAAGGTAAAGAGCTAAATTCGTGTTACCTGACTTTCTTACTTCATCTCAATATGACAATATCCACAGAGTCACGCATATAGGCTATAATACATGTTTAAAGCCTATACATGCCTCCTCTCTTTTCATAATCACTTAATCTGTGTAATTTTCAAGACAAATCCCCCTTTAAAACAGTAGAAATTCTCTAATTCCACCTTTTCATTTGGAAAAAAAAATTCTTCAAAATTTATAGACATGATGAGTTAAAAATTAGAGCTAAAAAATAATTAAAACATGATGTAGACATGAGGACTCCAAGGCTTTGAGTAACATCTGAGTGAAAAAATAAAAACCCTCACCTGTCCTGATGTGACCACAAGATGCAGTACTGCGCATGTCCACCAGAGAACAGTAATGATCCATCTGAGTGTCTTCTACAGAAATGGGGAAAATCATGACCACCAGAAAGTTGGGAAAGCTGCAACTTTGAGAAAGTGAGTTTCATTCGCAAACATTGGCTGATCTCGTTTTAGCCTTCAAATCCCCGTGTTTGTGTGCTGAGTTGATGAGGGATGTAAAGTAGATTTCCAAGTTATTCAACAAGTTCCTTCACTTTAGGAAATTTCACACTGTGAAAACCAATATTTCTCTGTCAATTCTTCAACACTAGAACACTACTGCTAAAATTAGTAACACCATCACTATCGCCGGGTGATTTTTACCCAAAAATAATATACCCAAGAAAAAGTACTTGTCATCAAAATATATGAAAATAGGACAATACATGAAAAATTAAAGTAGTTTTCTTTTGTTTTTAACTTTGCAATGTCCAATGGTAGGGGGAAAAGTGCCATGAGGGGACCATATAAAAATGAAACAAAATAACAGAAATAAGGCATTCATGGACAAAAAATTCCATAAAAATGGAGACTGTAAACTTAGTTTCTTTCTCACCCATTCCTGGGCTGAACACTATCACCCGGCGATAGTGTTCTAGGGTTAACGTCAGTTTATGCAAAATGCATCTTTTTATTTTCACCTATGAAGAACCTTTGAATGGCTGCACAGTGGTATGGTGGTGGTTCTGTGCTTTGTGTTTTTTTTCTTCTTAGCAGATGGTTGTGCATAAAATCCTGAATGAGGCCTTCAACAAGAGCCAGTTCCTGTGGAGATTGAATTTTTGAATGCCCTTGAGTATATACCATGAGGACTGGTTTGAATAGCCACAATCCATCAGAAAGTGCATAATCCCAGAGAAGTGCACATTCACAGGTGGCACATTGGCACAGTGATTGGCATTCTTGCCTCTCCACAAGTTGGGACTGTGTTTCAGTCTGAAGAAGTGGAATCTGTCACTCCATAATACAGGTGTCTTCATGCTGGATACCTATACTGACAGTAGATATTCCCATCTGTAGGGTAGATAGCAAGTTTAAACTACAAAACCAACTAATTTTGGTGTTTTTCTTAATTTCTTAGTTTATTTGGAAAGTATTTTTGCAATTTAGCAACAGCAACAGGACTCCCAGAAAAGACTTTAATGGGACAAGATAATTCGAAGTTAATGACACAGACAGGTGATAAGAGAAAGGTGCTTAAAGGGATATTCTGGTGTAAAATTAAGTTAGGGTCAAACACACCATAATACTGAGTTAGACACCCCGTCAAGAGATGAATGTTGCCTTGCTTCTCTAATTATACCAACTTTAGTAAAGACTGCACGATAGCAATACGCAGCGGTCTGAGGAGCCATAAACAAACCTCAACCAAAACACCACTCTATAGCCACAAATAATGCTCAGAACAGCACCTAACTTCATTACTTGGCTAGAGTCCTAGCCAAAGTACTAGCCAACATCTTTCTAGCTTTGCCTGATTTCTTGTTTTACACAACTCACCTACTCTCTCCCAGCAGCCGCTTGTTTGCACAGAGACCTCCGAGTGAGTCTATCGACTGCAGCGGGGTGATGCAGCTCAAGGAAGAACATTTATGATCATTTCTTCATGGAAATGCAATCAGACTGAGACGCTAAGGCAAAAGAGCTACTGTGTCTGTTGTGCAAAATGATTAATATGATGATTATTACTTCAAGGAAATGATAAAGTAATGATGATAAATGTTCTTCCTTGAGCTGCGTCCCCCTGCTGCAGTCGATGGACTCGCCCAGAGGTCTTTGTGCAAACAAGCGGCTGTTGGAAGAGAGTAGGTGAGTTGTGTTTAGTCTCTTTGCTAAAGAAATCAGGCAAAGTTAAAAAGATATTTGGTGGTTAGTGCTATGATAGGACCCTATATGTACTGTTGATGAAGTTAGGTGCTGTTCTGAGCATTATTTGTGGCTATAGGGTGGCGTTTTGGTTGAGTGCATGGCTCTCTGTCTTGCTATCTGCGGTCGATACTAAAGTCGGTATAACTAGAGAAGCAAGCGGTCAGCAACATTCATCTCTCGACGGGGTGTCGGACTCAGTGTTACGGTGTGTTTGACCCTAACTTAATTTTACGCCGGAATATCCCTTTAATGTGCCAGCTCCCCCAGCAGTCTGAACCTACAGAAGCATAAATGTTTCAGGAGCCTTCATACAATGCTCCAACACATGAACACATACTCTCCAGTCAAACTAAAGAAAGCAAACATGAAGGTTGACTCCAGGTTACTATGAAACGGCTACACTTCAAACATTAAACTCTCAATGGTTTATATATTTGATTTGGGACTTTGCCCTGTGAGAGTTTAATGCTGCAGCGGTTTACAGTGGATCATAATGTGACTCAGCCTCAGCCTGTCATGGGTCGGCAGCCTAACCAATCTGAAGCTAATGTCTGAGGATATAAGGAGGTCTCATTTGCTGAGTCCTTCAGGCTCTGTGGACGCAACAGATTCATATTATTAAGCTTATGTCAGTTATTATAGAGGATATCGGGGAGAAAAACCAATGAAAGTCAAAACTCATTATAGTAGAAATAATTGCAACAGTTTTTCTGCTGACGTCATTGTGGCTGGGGGGTATTTGCTTCCATTACGGTTTGTTAAAGGCAGAAACGTCCCTGTTGAGCCACCTGGTTGATTAATTGAAACTCAAATTAAGGTAAATGGGTGAAATGGAGGTAGATATATATTTTTTATACCCACACTAGTTGTTGTTTATCTTGTAAATTGTGTTACAAGCATTTTTAACAAAGCACTTAAGCTAATGAGCCAGTATAAACACGGAGAGAGTTTCTCCTCAAGCTAATAACTAGAGAGAGGATATTTAAATACGCTGTTAAGTAGGGAGCTTCATTTTACTGTGACAGTTTAAATGAGCTTTTTCTGGCTCTGCAAAGTCAGACCTTCCATGGAGTATTGGATTTTACATCCACTGCCATATGGACGCCCACTGACACCGACTTTCTCCTGCATTTTATTTTTGAAGTTCACAGACTCTGAACTGTTTTGGGCCCTAGATATATAAGGTGAAATCTGGTCCAACTACAAAGGTGGGGAGCATCTCTACTGTCGCTTTGAGGGGAGGGTGATAAATATGGATTATCTGCTTTTTTACTTTTCTCCCAAGTGCATGCTGGGATTGGTTACAGTCCTGAATAAAAATCAGCTGGCTTGAAAAGATGAAACAATGAAAGTCAAATGAAGGAAAGAAACCTTTTTATTTACATCTCCACTTTCACTTTAGTTATTTGGAGATGGCACTTTCAAAGTTTTATCTGGGGTCACATTGGTTGCATAAAAGTCAAAAGTTTGAGTGTTTTGCCACCTCTGAAGAAGAGCAAAATGAACTCCAATGATCAGGATTAAAGATGATCTTGTAAGCCTTGCTGCAGTTGCTGTGAATGCAGGAGATCAGTACTAAAACACCCATGTTGGTTGTCCTACAAACTTGATAATACACTGAATCTGATGTTTACTACTGTGATACCAACCAAACTTAATGTGTTTGTCTAAGCGTAATCGAGCAGAAGCAAAATGTGCTGGAACTCTTCACCACTGTCTGATTTGATATGACGGGTGTGATCTGGTTGTTCCAGGCTTTATCCTTGCAATTTAGAATCAATTATCAACCTTTCCTTTTCCAGTGCTCTTATCGATTTAAACCGATAGAATTTGTCAAACTACTAAATCTCTGCATTGGCTACCTGTGTCTTTGAGAGTAGATTTTAAGGTTCTTTTATTAGTTTTTAAAGCTCTTAATGGTCTTGATCCTTCTTATTTGTCTGATTTGCTTTTACCGTATGAGTCTAGTGGAGCCCTCAGGTCTTCAGGTGGTGGTCTTTTAATTGTTCCCAAAGTAAAAACCAAAACATATGGTGAATCATCTTTCCAACATTGTGGTCCCCATCTGTGGAACTTAAGTAAAGTAAACTTAAGACCTACCTTTGATTCTGGCTTTTAGTTGAATTTTGTTTAATCTTTTAATCTGCATTACGTGATTTTACCCCATCTTAGTCCTAGAGTAACTATTTTTTTTAACCTCTTTTTTAATTTACTTTCTGTTATTGTTCAATTTTAAGTCTGTTTTAATTAATTAACTTTAGACGCTTTATCACCTTTAATATATTTTATCATGGTTTTATAATTTTAGTCCTAGATCCAGTGTTTCATCATCTTTTTAACCTCAATATAGCATTTCCTCAGTCATCTGCGGCGAGTTGAAGAGTCCTCACCTGTTTTTTTGTGTGTGCATCTTTGTGTGTGAGTGCTGCATGGGGGTTGGGGGAGTGGGTGGAGTTTGGTAATTGTATTTTTATTTATTTTATTTCCTTGGTTTTTTTAATATCCTGTG